AAGAAAAAAGAAAAGAAAAGAGAGAAGTGAAGACATCATATGAAGCTTCATTCAAGTTGTAATACATTTTAATTGAAGAAATTTCATCAATATTAATCATAAATCTAGAAGTAGCTACTGAAACATTGGATGAATACTATCATTAGGGTGAATACATTTCCCTCTATAGTATATGAAGACTTCCAGTCCCTTGTCGGTGGATATTTTTTTTGGTTTTTTTTTGTACAAATTAAAATACTGCAAAAGTTGCTGATCTTCTGTCAATGTTTTAATAATTTCTCAACAATTCCACAGAATATATCACTAGGTGTCTTTTAGGAATTGGTTCCTCTTTCTATGGAGGTATCACTCAGTATCAGTATTTTTAAAAACTTACACTCAAGTTACAGAGATCATGAACCGAGCGTGAAGTTTGGTCATATAGGTCTACGCGAAACATGGTTGCAACACGTACACCATATAAACGAGCAGCCTAACCCGATACGCAGTGTTAATCCAAGTTGCTTTCTCATCCACTATAACTCATGTACTGTAGATCTATATACACAGGTGATACAAGTTCATCTGGAACCTAATTGTACCGCACACAACACAACTACACATCGGAAGGCTTATAATCGGTGCAATACAGATTATTATGTCAAAAATGTGTTTGCCTTGGATTTGCCTTTGGATTTTCGATTGGATTTGCCGTTGCATTTAACAAAATGTATGCATCATATAGCTCTAACAGTAGCAGTTAATAGTTTTCCTTTACAATCAATTAAGTAGATTTCTAGGCAACAGTGACTGCTGGACGCGGAAGCACAATCATGACATTCATGATTCTTACAGTTACATGTAGACTAGACCGAAAGCTTCAGTCTCTATAATCGTCGGTTGTTCCACTGAGACTACGTCTGGCTCCACTAGACCTCCGGTTATAGAGACTGAACGACTGCCTATGCCAGCCTGTGTTGAACTTATTCCGCTAGATTTTAGCCGCTAGGCCCCTCCCACAAACTTGCCACGGCCGTATTGTGATGCCCCCAAAATCCCCCAAAATGTCATTTTACCTCGTCCATATCCAATTTTAAATTAGGCCTAGGCTATAATACATCGGTTCCACTTACTAATTTGATGTAAATAATCCGTTTAATGGTCCCTTTTAAGGAAATTATGGGTCAAAATCGACATCCATGTTGAAAATCTTGCAAGCCGTCCGTTAAACTCTCGCTGCCGTCAATCTCATCCCTTCTAGTCTACGCCGAAGGCAAAATGATAATGAAGGAAAAACTGTGCGCCATCTACACGTTCGTAATGGCGTTATCACAGTTTTTTCCTTCATAATCATTTTGCCTTCGGCGTAGACTAGAAGGGATGAGATTGACGGCAACGAGAGTTTAACACGGCTTGCAAGATTTTCAACATGGATGTCGATTTTGACCCATAATTTCCTTAAAAGGGACCATTAAACGGATTATTTACATCAAATTAGTAAGTGGAACCGATGTATTATAGCCTAGGCCTAATTTAAAATTGGATATGGACGAGGTAAAATGACATTTTGGGGGATTTTGGGGGCATCACAATACGGCCGTGGCAAGTTTGTGGGAGGGGCCTAGCGGCTAAAATCTAGCGGAATAAGTTCAACACAGGCTGGCATAGGCAGTCGTTCTGTCTCTATAACCGGAGGTCTAGTGGAGCCAGACGTAGTCTCAGTGGAACAACCGACGGTATAGAGACTGAAGCTTTCGGTCTACATGTAGACCTAGTACTACACTCAGCTCACACTCACAGACTCACTCACAGTCACAGTCATGCAAACACGAAACGAAGCTATTCCACTCTCCCTGGCCTTGGGCGAAAACTACGTCTTTCGCGTACACTAATTTACATAGTTTATTAGGCCTAAACACTACATTTTTCACTCACCAATCCCTGCCATTTAAGCGACAGGTCAATGATTGATGCGACATAAGGCTGATGGAGTGATCGATGGGATTGGGTTTGCACGTAACACAGCCATAGCTAGCTAGCACCTGTCTTCGTTATTTACATTATTTTTGCACCTGTCATATTTTTAAGCAACTCGTCCAATAAAAATTCAAGTTATCGAATAAGAGTGTGCGCACCACCTGCTCACGATCCCAGGTCAGTGTTGTCAGGGGGCGATTACCTTCCTATTGTTTGTCAAATCCTTGAACTTTATGTTAGAAATCACTATTATAGTTTCACTAAAAGTAAAATTTTCAACGAATCTATAGAATTTGAAAGAAAGGTGCCTTATAGGCCATTTTGGGTGTATGTCTTTACTAGGATACTGTCTTCATCCCATTTTTGCCCGCCTCCTATTTTTGTTACTGCATATCAAATGAGATCTTGGATCTTGGATTTTTTTCCCCTCCTAAATACTCCCAAGAAGAGTTTTGACTGGAGGTGGTGGAGATACGGTAATATAAATAATTAGTATATGTGTTTTTTTAGCTTCTAAAGTGTATGCAGATGAGATGAGGAGCACTGACTCTACTGTGAGGACGATTTTTCTTAGGACGAATAATCTACAGAACGAGTTGTTCTGGCTCCCAGACCGAGCTCTGAGAAGAATGGTAGTGGCGTCACTGGTTACCAAATACGTGCGCGCGCCGAAGTACTGTACTCGGGTTTATTAAGGTCAGAGACTGGTCAGGTACCCGGGGGTTTGGAGGGGGTGTGTCGCTCATTAACGCTCAAGCCTCGAAGTCCCTACCCATTTTTTAAGGGTCATTTGAGGGGGATTTTTCTTGAAATAAAGGCCCATTTTTCACAATTTTGAAATTTTTGAAAAAACGGATCCATGTTTTGGATAGGCCTATTTTTGTTAAAATTTGGGGCACACGTTTTATTTAGGGATTTTTGTGTGAATAAGTGTCCCATTAGAGCGGCCCAAAACCGTATGAGACCCCCCCCCCCGGGTCAGATATAATTTTCGCACGAGTACTATTCACGATCCTCTCCTGATCGAACTCTCTGTGGGTTTTTTGGGGGTAAAAGTTTTAGGATTTGATAGACCTAAATTGTAGTGTAAGCGTTGTTTACCAAACAATGATTGTTTCTCTCAGCCTCAGTATCGAACCCCAACCAGGCGCGTACGCAGCGGGGGGGGGGGGGGGGGGGGGGGGGGGTTAATGTGTGTGATTTTTGATACCCCCTCCCCCCAATTAAAAAAAAAGGGTGAAAAAGGGTGACCCCCAATGCTCTTACCCTCCCCCCCCCCCCCCGCCGCTTATTCAGCGCCTAAAAAAAATCCTGCATACGCCACTGACCCCAACCATATCTCTATTTATCTAGAGGGAAGTCACTTTGCATGTATTATTTTCTGCAATATACGGCAAGTCTCTGTCGAGCATTTTAGTTTCAAACTTTTAAGTCATGTGCGTGAAATTAGTATTTAAACAGGTCTTCTGATTTTTTTATATACTTTTTATTGCCTATAATCTTCTCAGGGGTCTTAGTCATGTAGAAATACTGTAAACATGCGTGACCAAAGGTTTCCCCCTTAAACGAGAATTTCTTCTGTCAAAGCCAAAATACATCCTATAAGGATTTCGCGTGGTTTTCCCCTTAATTATTCTCAACCTAAACGGGTATTTCATAAAAGTGTACTCTTAAAGGGATCGTTTAACAATGTTGAATCTGAGATACAAGGTCCTACATGTTACCAGTGTCTGTGATATGGTGTAATCAGGCGCGTACACAGGGGGGGGGGGGGGGGGGGGTGGTTGGGGGGTTGGGGGGTTAAACCCCCCCTTTGGTATTTTTATGTGTGTAAACTCCCCCCCCCCCCTTTTGGATTTTTGTTGTTGTTTTGTTTTGTTAATTATTAAAAAAAAAAAAGTCAAATTTTCAATTTTCAAGACCAAAAAAAAAAAAAAATGTCCTCTTACCCCCCCCCCCCCCCCCCCCACACACACACTGAGCGACTTTACGGCCAGCGCGATTTTCAAATTTTCTGGAGCAAATTTTTCGGGTCCGATTTTAAACCCCCCCCCCCTTGAAAAAATCCTGCGTACGCCACTGATTCAATCAGCAGATGTATGAAATTTATTGTATTATTACCAACGCTCCTTCTCTTCCCTTTCCTTTTCTTCTCTGCAAGTCACTCTTTTTTATTCTTATTTGTATTGTTGTAATTAAGTTGAGATCTAATGTATGTTAATTAGGCATTCAATATATTTGTTGAAATTCAATATATTTGTTTAATATCGTTTATTATCTGTATTAAATTATATACACTTGTTGAAATATTGTATCAAGCCATATTATGTTCATGAAAATGAATGATGAAAAAAGAAAAAAGATGCAGAAACCAATAAATCAAATCAAATCAAAATACTGGGGGACACCTCTCCTACAATGACGTTTTTTTTAACCCCCCCCCCCCCTGCTAAGTGAAAAAGTTCTTGCATTAGACCGTCCCTGATGCCATGTAAGCCTAGAACTCATCTTGCAAAAGCAAGTCCATGTTTCTTTATAAATAACAACGGATTGATCTTTTTCCTCGGGGAGGGAGGGGGGGGTGGGGGGGGGGGTGTTGGCCGGCCCCCACTCAGTGTTATTTAGGGTATGCATAAGCATATTCCCTCCTAAGTCTGGTGTGTAAAATGGGCTTTTGTGTACTACGAGCCGGACTTTGGTGCGTGAAAAGTACCCCTTTACCGGACATTTTGGTAACACGCATGGTATCCCTCCGATCACGGAGTGGGGGCCGGGGGGGTTGGCTAGGTGGACCTCAAATATTAAAAAAAACAGTTGTGGGCACTCTTCCACTCTTTCCTTATTAAGGGGAAATGCATAACATGTGAAATCCCATCTTGAAAGCAATTTTTTTATATACAATTCGTAAATTTGAATGCCAGGACCTTTTTTTTTGGGGGGGGGGGAGGGGTGGATCCAAATACAGGGTGTGTTTCAAATTCAAACATTGAGTGATATGAAAATTAATGGCCTCCGCTTTTTTTTTTCTGGTGAAACGCCCTCACTTTTCATTTGAAGTTAATCGAAAATTTATCTGGAACAAAGACTATGCCGCTGAAAGTTTGTGTGCGTGATCTTGAACGTGAGATTAAAAATGCATTTGCTTCCTTGTCACCTAAGCTAAACGAAAACGTAAGTTTACCAGTTTTTCTTATCTGACTATGCTGTATGGTGAAAGTGGTTATTATTTTATGATCTCATTTGGGATATGTGATTCCGCGTGTAGTTTAGGCTGATCTGATCTGAGCTGAGTGAGCTGAGGCTGAGCTGAGCTGAGGCTCGCACTTGCTTCTCGTAGCGCAAAGCGACTGACTGGATCGAAGAGCACGTTGTTGCCCGCTAGCGCTGCATAAATAATATAGCTGTCCAACAACATGCAAAACCAGTCTACTATACTGCTGCACTGCTGGCGAGGTTGTGTGATTGTTGGTGACCGCCGCGTTGGGATCATAATTCATGTATTTTTTATGGATAGAGGTCTACTTATCTAGTCAAATATTGTTTTTGATTTCATAGTTTTAATGTTGTGTTTATTATCAGTAAGTGTGCTGGTCAGAGAATGAGGATCGTCGTCATAAACGAGGATATCCTCGTATTTGTAAACGCGGACAAAATGTGTCCTCAAAAATAAGATGAGGATCGTCTGCATTTTTGCGGACGTTTTTTTTCATCAGCGCACTGCACGTTTTCGGGTTCCCGAATCGCCTTCTGGCAATGCGAAAAAACGGATTCCGCGTAAGAAACTAACCCTAGTTTGCTATCTAGTTTTATGGGTTGTCCATCTTCCCGAGGATTTATCGCTCTTAACAAAGTCAATGTACAACGCATCAAGAAAGTCATCGCGCAATCCGTTCTATTTTCTTTTTCTTCCTTTTTTCTATTTTTATTTATCTTCCTTTTTTCTATTTTTATTTATCTTCCTTTTTTTCTATTTTCTTTATCTTCCTTTTTTCTATTTTCTTTATCTTCCTTTTTTCTATTTTCTTTATCTTCCTTTTTTCTATTTTCTTTATCTTCCTTTTTTCTATTTTCTTTACCTTCTTTTTTCTATTTTCTTTATCTTCCTTTTTTTTGTAATCATGATTCTATTTAAATTATGTACCAAAGTTATTGTTATTTTGTATATTTTATGAGCATCATTTTTAACCAATTCCAGACGACTTGCCACAAAGACAACTCACTACAATACCGTGGACGTCTCGCCACAATACCCTGGACAACTCGCCACGGTCGAGTTGTCCAGGGTGGGGTGCCTTTTCGGACAGCTCGCCACACTTTTTTCCCCTCATGATTTCTATCCCTTATCTTAGATGAAATTGTCATTTTTCATGATTTTCGTGCTTTTATAAACACCAGCTAAACACAGTCATGACAAAGAATAAAAAATAAAGCTGGTTTCCCTTGCAACAAGAATATATTTTTAACAAACCGAAGGCGTACGATCGCCAGATATTGGGATAACTTCTTGGTATTTAGAGATCTACAACAGCTGCATTTTTCTGTCTCAGAAAATTTTTAATGGTAGGAATTTATATATTTTCATGGAAGGATACTGCATGGAGGCACTGGCGTACTAATGGGGGGGGGGGGGGGGGGGGGGGGGGGGGGGAGTTGACCCGCAAAATAAATGGGTTTGTCCAAAATAGATTCTTGTTGCGGGTCTTGTTAATTGCAAGCGCAAGGATAATCATCTCAAAATACTCACAATTTCCATGTTTCCTGTCATGACTGTGTTTATAAAAGAATAATGAATACATAAAATGACAATTTCATCTAAAATGAGGGATTTTAGATCTAGAAATCACGAGGGGAAAAAAAGTGTGGCGAGCTGTCCGAAAAGGCACCCCACCCTGAACAACTCGACCGTGGCGAGTTGTCCAGGGTATTGTGGCGAGTTGTCTGGACCCCCATATCCCCATTTTTAACATGCCATTTGTATGCTTTTCTGGATTCTCCCAATCCAGAAATCTTATCATAGTATATGTTTCTATTTTGAAGATTATTTATATGATATTGTTTTTATCTTGAAAATAAACGAAATTAAATGAAAGTCAGCCTCTATTGCAAGGGCTTTCGTTCTAAAATTTGGTATCCAAAACTTACAATTTAATACAGGGATTTAATTTTAAAGCTTATCTGCCATAGTTTACAGGAGGGTTTAGACCGCCCTACAAGGTCACTGGACAGGTGGTTATCTCATCAACTCAGCTCTCAGTTAACATAAGAAAAAGAGGATCATGGGGGACCAATGGTCACCGATTAGGCATCGTTTGTTATATAGAGGGTGCAAGTAGCTACAAGTAGTGCAGTGGGCATTTAATATGGACTTGATTATTTGATTTCATGCAGGCTTGATAGTACAAGTGGGGTCTCTTCTTTTAACTGTCGAGTGAAGATCTCTTCAACAAGACACCATGGCTGCCCCTTCTGGCAATCGACCCCGTTGCTTCTTTGATGTTAGTATAGGGGGCGGTGGAGGTGAGTTACATTTATTTTGTCCCTTTGGAATTGGTAAGAGAAAAAGAAGAAGAAGGAAGGAAAGAAAGAGAGAGAGAGAGAGAGAGAGAAGGAAGGAAGAGAAGGAGGTGGTAGAGAATTAAATTACATTTAAATGTAATTCAAATCTTAAAATTGATCCTGTTTGTTTTTATCGTATCCTGTTTATATCAATTGCGTATTCATCATACTACATGCGGTTAACATTTTTAAAATGATGGATTTTAAACATGGTTTAAAATGTGCATATATACCGTCTTAAGAAGTTCTAACAAAAAATTTGAAAGGTTTCGTTTGAGCAGACTGTATCAGAATTGAATAAAGCCATTAAAGTGAAAGCTACATGTAGTTTTGCTTTTTTTCCCAATTGCATCCCCACTCGAAAACTTTTACTGAGTTTTTATCTTGCCATTTATTATGATTCGGGTACGGGTTGAGTCTCCGTCTATCGCATCTATCACAGGCAGTAGGTGAGAATGAATACAGGAAATTTGGATGACTGCCACAAATCTGACCTCTGAAGGGCCGATTGGGAATATACTGTAAATCTCACTCTTAATAAGACCCTCAAATATTTCATCAGGTCAAGTTGTTGAAAACTTGAAATGTTACTTGAGAAAAAACAGAAACTAGGAATAAAATTATTTTATGGATGGGGAAAAAATAATATTAGATTTTGATATTTTGTTCACATTCAGAGCATAAAACTGAATTATTTAGAAAAGGGTCCTGGATTTCAAAAGTTAAAGGCATGTTCATTTGGTCAATTACATTATCAATTTCAGTAAATTTAAAAATTGGTTTGACTGCTTTGTTGTGTGCCATATAACCCCCCCCTACCCCCTTGGAAATAACTAGAAACAAAAAGTTTCAGGGAATCACAGTTATTGAAGAGTATCTTTCTGAGTTTACCACCTACATGTAGGTGTTGTACATTAACTACCATGAAATTGTGTGTCAGATCTCATTCATTTGTAGTTTCGAAGATTCAATGTGAGTTTCATATGATTCTGTCATTGCTCTGGCAATTTGTTGGGATAACTTTTAAATTGTAATATACCCAAATTTATCAGAATTGTTGTAAATTATCTGAACATGCCCTTTTAGGTACCGGTAGTATTGTACTTGTTTTTGTAGTGTTTTTTTTTTTAGTTTGTTGTCTGTTGTTGATTCTCATGCAAGAGATACTCGTTGCCAACTTTTTCCTAAAATATGACCCGCATGCATAGTAGCACCTCCCAGGGGGGTGTTTCCAGTAAAAGTGGTACCATTGGAATGTGCATCTGTGCTGCCCACCCCTGCTATTAAAAGTAAAATAGAAGAGTCCTAGTCCCTGCTTTAGACCCCCTCGTTGCCTGATTTTTAGTGTAGGCCAATAGCAATTGAGGCTTGGTGGTTTGGGAGGAGAGTTTTTGGTAGTCACTTGTAAAACTATCTCAACAGGATAAGGATCATTTTGAAGGGGAAATTTGAGCTCACATGTCATCTTCTGAATCATATGTTTACATTTTGCTTTCCATTGTACTTTTGTTTATCATTTCTCTATTCTAATTTGAAGGTAAGTACCTCTTACTCTCTTTCATGAAAAACATAATTTGTTGAGCTTGTTTATGTCTTCATTTTTTATCCTCTTTAAAGTTGATCTTTTCCATTGTTTGGTTCATTCTTAACATGTGACGGGGTGGTTCTGTACTAACATTGAATGGCATTTCTGAAAGCGGCCCAGATAGGGAAGGGGATGAAATTTCTCTGCATCGATATGATTGATGTATAACATGATTCTATGCACACTCTTAACCATTCAAAAGCTTGGAATATCTAAAGAAAGTACATTTAAAAAAAAATCATATTGGCAACTTGCTGATGGTTATGAGCCAATGGTTCACAAGTTTTTGAGGTGCATTTTGAGGTAGCTCTGATAGTTGATGTTATCTTTTCTTTTCTTTCCTTTAGATGTTGGTTGAGGTAAACTGCTAATTTTTTAAAAACTCTTTAGATATACTCGCATGATTTATTAAACTTTCTTGCTATATGTAATTGAAGTCCAGATTCCACAGCTATAATTTTAAACACAGTAGTGTGAAATTTAGATAATGATATGATTTGGTTAAAGTTTTATTTTATTTGGGATCCAAAGCCAGTGTGGATAAGTATACAGGGGTGGGGGGGGGGGGGGGGGTCGAGAACCAATTTATTTCATGATATACATTTGTATGTACATATTATTAAAAGAGGTACATGTTCATTTTGTGAGGGCTCAATATTTAAAAAAATTATGAAATGTCATGTTGGCAATCTCAAAAATGAAAAGCTCAAAAGGTTCTTTTCAATGGTATTTGTACTTGTACACCACAATAGTCTCAGATGATCGTCTTTGTTTTCTTTACATTCTAATGATATTGACATACTTGTATACTAAGTTTTTTTTAAACAGTTTTATGCTGACCTTTGTTATTCTTTCGTTTTTAGGAGGGCGGATACTATTTGAACTCTTCTCAGACATCTGTCCAATCACCTGTGAGAATTTCAGAGCACTTTGCACCGGTAAGTTGGCATCAAACTCAAAGTACAATTGTAATCATTAATCCAAGTATGTATTTTATAGTGTGATTTCATGTTTGGTAAATGATCATATCTGATTGATACACGTCTGTAAAAAAAAACAAATACACACACACACACACATGCTTCGTTCTATCTTTCTGATTAACCATCATTATACATTCAACTTAATTTACATTATTTAGACATTATTTTCCTGAAGTATATTTGGTAAAGGAATGGGCTTATAGTATTGTACATGAGATCCCATTGGTTTGATAATAATGATTGTGGTAGTTTATAGTTGTCATTGGAACTATTTTCTATTTATTAGAAAGGTGAGATTTGGTCTTGAAAAAGTAAAATGAAAACTGCTCTTCATGTATAGTTTACATCGTGTTCACATATATGTTCATTCACAGTGAAAATATATATGAATATCCATATTATGAGGATGAAAGGGAGTGGAGGATTTCATAGATTGGATTTCATTAAAGTGAAATATGATACCCATGCCACACCTGTCGAGGAATGACGAATAATGTATCGTCATGGAAGACAGATGAATAAAATACACTCCAAGTTCGGTGTCGTATGGATGGTCCTGTATCCTTCACTAATCTAATAAGTGTGCATAGTGGGTTGGTATTACACCGTAAGTGGGGTCAACGCCCCTCACCAGCACCTTCACAGCTTGACCTAGGGGGCAAGTACCCGAGATCACATCGAGCACCGCTAGGATTCTCTGCATCATATGTCCAATAATTTCAAATCAAAATATCACTTTGATATCCATGATTTGTTTTCTTTCAAGTGTACCGTTAGAGAGAGGAAGGAAGATTAAAAATACTTTAAATACTGTAACAGCTGATCTAGCTTCCTCCATTTCATGCTTGGTAAAGCGAGTAATTTTAGGAGATAGTTTAAATATGTTTAATGATTGAGTAGCCGTTGTGAATACATAAATCAATCATTCCATCTGTTTTTTTTGTTTTTTAAAGAACTCTGGTGAAAAAACCCACTTAAAGAGAAGGTTGAGTTCTGGGAAGAGGTGAAAAATAACTTTTGAGCGTTATCATTGTTATGCAAGTGTGGAAGAACATCAGATTACAAGTGTTCCCTGAAAAGCATGGCTCTCCAAATGCCTTGATATTCTAAATATGGTATGTAACAACATAAAAATCGGGACAGATTTTTACACCACATGTTTGTGTAGTCCCATATACATCTTTCTGTGTACAGTGCTTGTAACTTTACCAAGACTGGCCCAAATTTCTTATCATTTTAATGATACCAGAACCTTGCAGTACACACCAATACTTATATGCTAGATGATCAACCTTTCTGATCGATTGCACACTGTTCCTTTCACAATGCAATCGCTTGACCAGAACTCAACTTTATCTTTAAATATCGTTGTACAGTGTAACTATATCATACTTAATGTATACAGTACTAAATCTTAGAAGGGCTCACTGTGTACAGATATTTGAAATTTTGCATGCAGATGTACAGGCATACAGTAATGGCAGATAATGAAAGAGCTTCCAGTTTCAGGTGGATACAAATGTACCAAAAGGTGTTTTTTTTTTTTCTTCCAATTTTTATGTAAACCGTGAAACTTGGCTCCAAGCCTTCATTCACCTAGCCTTTAACTATTTTTTAATTGATGCTGAGAGGGAATGTTCATTGTATGCATGTCTCTTTTGAGAGTAGCATTAGTGTCATACTTTGTATCAAATTACAAATGATTGGATATTACAAGGCAAGAGTAAGCAGGAGATCTGTGGCAGTTTTGGGATGTTACATGATACCCTGAGTAGATAGTTCCTTGTTTTGTTCACCCTAACACCAAGAACAATATTTTATAGCCCTACTTTGATATGTAAAAGCCATTTTGAAAGGTCATTTTCTTTTGTTTCTGTCAGTCGTGATTGATACAGTGAAATGTAAGGAGCAAAATCATTTTCTATTTCCTTCTCTTGCACAACAAAATTGTATGTGTGTGTGATGCAAACTTTATGTAGAATTATAAATGATAATGAATCGGATTAATGGATTTTGAGAATATGAACTGCTCCCAATGTTGTAAAAAGCCCCAAATCATGGATATTTTAACAGTTTATGATTTAGATGTATGCATGTAACTTGCATTCAGTTTGATGCAAATACAAAAAGGTATCTGTATGTGTGCTTGTACATGTATCTACAAGTAAATGCAGTTATTTCACCAATTTGTATGATTTTTGTTTATGATGCTTTATGAGTCATCTACATGTACTATATTTGTAATATGATAGATAATTGTCTGGCCTTCTAAAATAATTTTAAGGAGGATGAAAAGAGGGATTAAAAGGAGAAAGGAGGAAGAAAACATGCTGTGCAAATTGTACCTGTACTGATTTTTCTTTATCAGTTGCTGATCAAGATTTAATATTTTTATGTCTAGCTCAGCTGGAAGTCAATTTAGAAATATGAAGGTAAAGGGGGGATAAATACTTGAAATGTAAAGGTTGGGTTGTCTCTTTACAAGTAGTATATTGTGTGGTTGTTAGATGCAATTTATATAAAGGCTATTAACTTGCCTGCTGATTGGCCAGTGGGGTACCACAACAAATGTTTGTCTCATGTAGACCGAAACTCAAGATGGTCTAAAGAGATATGAGTAGAAAAGTGAGAGCACTTTACCTCCTGGTGATAGAAGGTTTCAATGCTTTTTTCCCCTTCTTTGTTAGTCCTTTCTTTCCGGGTACAGAAGTACGTTTTCAGAAGATGTATCAGCTACTTTTATAACAAGAGCACACTTTGGGATAACAGAGATGTGTGTGCATGTAATGTAATCTCTTTGCAGTATGAACATTTTTAAACTTATGCTTCTGCCATAATCATCATCACTCCTCCCCCTTTCTCTAATTCTCTCTTTCCTGTTCACACTCACTACCTGTATATGTAATGGGGCGGTCATACATAATTACCTGTAGTTTAAAAGTGGAAATTGGTGAGAAGTCCCAATAAATTCAGGAAATGAGATCAAGAGACCAATATTCCCTCCTTTGGACGCTCGTCTGAATTGTACCTTGGTCCACTGACCTTATATGATTTTGTCAATCCTATATGAGAAAGAATAAGAAAAATAAAATATGATATATGTTCCCCAGCTGAAAGATTCAAAAATTGTATATTCATTCTACATCATTACATGTTTAAGTGTACATGTACATGGAGGTCTTTTTTTTAATTGTAGGCCTATATTGTATTGCTTAGAAAGAGAAAATAAGATGCTGAGGCAAGCTTCCACCATACCTCCTTTATACAAAAATTGTTAAAGATAAACTTAGTTCTGGTAATGCGATTGCATTGTGAAAGAAAAGGTGTGGAATGGATCAGAAAAGTTGATCATATAGCATGTAAGTAATGGTGTGTAATGCAAGGTTCTGGAGTCATCAAAATCATCTTAAATTTAGCAGAGTCTTGGTAAAGTAACAATCACTTACACAGAAAGATGTATATGGGACAACACACATGGTGTCGGGGCTAGTACTACCCTGATTTCCTTTTCTTTCTATGCTCATTACTCAGCCAGTATACATTTTCTTCCAAAATTGTTTGGCACATGACATTTATTTGTAATCTTGAACATTCAGTGTAAGTTTCGTTAGATTCTGTGAGAATTCATTTTCTTTTTTTACCAGAACTCAAGTTTATCTTTAATATTCAATCTTGTGAGTATTTTATGAAGACTTGGCTTTATTTGATGATTGTGTCAAAAGTTAACGTCATGACTAGGGCCCCTGTTTTAGGAACAGTTTCAAGCTGTTTTAAATCCGCTTTAGACGTAGGAGAGTTTGAGGACTTTGGCCTTTGTGCTGTTAAACCTTGAAAGTGTTGAAAGAGAAGTAATTCTCCATGAAATCTAGCTAAGAGCTACATTGTAGCTCAATTTGATCCATTTTGGGGTAGCACCTAAGTCGGAAAAAGGTGAAGTTGACCCTTACCTTCTCAATACAAACATATCCTTTTGGAAGATGGATTTTATTTTATCCTTACATTATCTACACAAAATGCATTAGTTTATTTGCATGCAGCTCTATCAGAAAGTGTGCATTCAATCTTTTAATGTGGACATTTTCTGCTCCCAACAGATGGCATAAATGTGTACTTTGTATTTCACAGAGATTGTAATATCATTATGCTCTGAGTATGCTTAAAGGACTAACTGCTTTGCCTTATGTTGGAATGTAGATATATGTGTAACTCTAAGATGCTGACAATGCTATATACTCACGTACTGTACATGTATGTTAACTCAAACTTTATGTATTTCTTTAAGTGCACTTTTACCCGGTATGTTTGCAAAGGGCAGGAGCATTAAATGGAACATATGTCGCGATACATCAAGTCAGCATACTGTTTATCTGTCTGGTTCTAAGAGGGGGGGGGGGGGGGGGGGTTTGAGGGTTACATCGGGTTAAAAACATGTACCGTAGAAGAGGTTACGGTTGAGATGCTTAAGAAGTCAAGATTAGGATTTTTGGGACCAATTTGGTGAGGACTGATCATGAGCTTGTTGGATCAGTTGGCCTATAGTTCCATCAAAAAGCGCATCCTGTTCACTCATTATACCAGGGATACCAGGGATGTTATTATACCAGGGATGTCATTATCCCCTCATTGTCATCGTAGGCCTCCAGGTACTACTCTGCATTTATAAAATACATGTACATCAATCATGTAGCTCGTCTAATTAATATTGCAAAGCCGGTGTACATGTAGATATAGGTGCGATATCAGTCATGACATTTGAATGGTCAAAATAGAGTGTACAGTGTATGCAGACTGCATGGATACCAACATGGTGTACAGAGGCAGCTGCACCAGATGGTATATTGTAAGATGTAATTCCCTGCTTCCCCTACATCCCCCTACCTACATCTACCCTACCCTGTGTTTTCTTGCCATAAGCTTGTGCTCTACCCCACCTATACACTCACAAACCTAATATTTGTTGTTATTTCTGGTTATTACATGGAAATTGTATTGTAGTATTGTAGACAAGCACTAAAGAAAACAGTGTACATGTATGTACCTTTACCCTTCCTTGTAACAAGAAAAGCTGATGACTTGTTTTGAAAAGGCGCACAAAGGTGGTCTTTCATGAAGGTCTGATGTACCTGGAGGGACAAGGGGTCATTCTGGCATAGGCCCTAGGGCAGATCACAACAAATATGGCCATGTCAGCTGACATTGATTTTAGCTAGAGTTGACAAGGGCAAACCACTGATCCACTTGTTGACACTTTTTAATGTACATACGTGGTCTAGCATGGTATATAAACATGCTAGAAAGTGAAGGTAGTCCAAGTCATCTAACATATATCTGTGATATATATATATATGTGCTAGTATCATACCGTGTCCAAATGTGTTTTCAGAAGAGGGGGCAGATGATACATGTTTTGTTATAAAACTTTCTGTTTGTTTTCTTTTCTTTTTTGTTCTCCAGAGGTTTGGTATCTCTATTTTGTTTACATTTTATTTTTTATTTCCCTTACATGTATATGTATTTTTTAAAGTTTTTGTGGGTTTTTTAATAGGTTATGAAGAAAATACCATTTACAGTGTACATGTTCAAAAGTGAATGTTTCAATACACACACTCAGATGGTAAAAGTTTTTGTTTCAACAGCATAGAGCTACTAAGCCTACTAAAGTCATCTGTGTGGTTATAGGTTACCATGTGAGAAATATGTATGAATTTGTCTAAACAGCTGATCAATATTATAAAGCCTCCCACTCCCACCCTTCACCTTTGCTAGATCACATGCCTAGTCTGTTATATGATTATGGAAGTAATTCAGTTGTGACAGGTACATCTTTATTGCCCCATGGCAGCTCTCACCGCTGGAGATGAATTCAATTGTCAATGTGATATTTTACTTTTGCTAATAATAAATATGTTTTATCCTTTTAAAAGCAGCAGCCCGCCTTTGATGTGTTTAATGACACCAGTTAGATCAGATTTAGAACTGTTCACCTCTTATGATAGTAATCAAAATGTTTGATCCAAGACATACTATACCTGAATATCAAAATGAAGTTTGGCTTTTGAAGCTTAACAAAGCCTTTTTAATGGGCTCCCCTTTTTCAAAGTGTTTGTACTCTCCTCAAACTTATAACTGGTGGTACTTTACTGGCTTGAACAGAAGTGATAAACATAGGTTTGTTGTCTGTCCTTTTCCATCACGTCACAGGTGAGAGAGGTATGGGGAAGACCACCAACAAACCGCTTCACTACCAGGGTAGCACCTTCCATCGTATCGTCAAGGATTTCATGATACAGGGAGGTGACTTCAGTGCAGGTTAGTACAGCTCTAGAGGCAGTTCAGTCTGTAAACTTGAACTATGAAAATGTTTTGGGTGGTCGTGGTGTAGCCTTGGGCAGAATTGGAGATTACCTGGCTTAAAATCATCATCAAAGACTTCTTTGTCGAGTCATACAGACTTTCTACAGCCTCTTTTTTCTTAAAGTACTTTTCCTTCCTCAATTCTCTATTATTTTGTTATGTCTTCAAACTCATTTCAAATTCATTGATTTAATATTATTCATAATTTGTTGTATTACAGCAGTAATTTTGTGATTTACAACAAAACAAAGAACAAAAATGTTCAAAGGGTGTCTTATTTTTTCTAGTATTTAAGAATTAAATGGCATTTTTACAGATTCAAAACAAAAGGATAAATATATCTTTTCCAGAATAATTATTTAAATCGGATAAAGCCAATTTTTTTCCCCTTCTTTTTTGCTGTAATTCAGTTCCGGTGAATGTGATTTGAAATATGTATATACTGTATAACTACTCATGTATGCTTCAAATACCCCAAAATCTGTTTTACATTTTGTGATGGTTTTCTTGGAATGCTGTATCATCAGTTTTTATGGAGTGCTACTAATGGGAAATTAAAAATCAGTTGGGATTCTGCCACAATTTTCTAACCCCCACCCCACCCCTTCACTTTCTTTTATTGTGGTCCTCTTTCCCTGAGAGCTCCTAACAGGTTGCAGAAAGAGAAAAAACAGGGAAGGATAAAGACGGAAAGTGAGATGCAATTGTTACAGTGTGTTGGTGCATTGCTGCATGTGCCGTCTCACGCTGGCATTGCATTACATGTGGACTCTGTCATTTCTGGCTGATCAGTCCCATGTGTTTGTCCTGCCGTTAGGGGTTATGGAAATGGTATATTGTCCCCGGGAGGAAGTTTGGCAAGAAAGTAGAAATAACAAATTGGGGACATCTGTTTCTGTCTCCCCTATTTATCTTCCTCTGCTAACTTGTTTCTGTGGCTCATCATCTTTTCCATGCAAGCATATCATGATCATCTACATGTATATCATTTATGAGTGCAGTGCAAGATATATATTTTTGTATGATATATTCTTTCAGATCAATCCATTTTGAGCTAGCTGAGACCTCAAAAAGCAGCTGTTATAATATTTTGTGTATACTTGACATATATACAGTATGCATACTTCCATTGAGTGTGCACAGGCTGCTCATTTAAGTTACAACAGCTGATGTAAAAATTGGAAAGCTGGATGCACATAAATATATTGATCTATACCAAGCAGATGCCTGTTGTGTAGGCTCAAATTGTAGTTGTAGTTTCTAAATTGGTACTATACAATTCTCAGCTTGCCAATCACAATGCAAATTACAAGCACTGATTGTCCCTAGATAGTCTCATGGAAATATATATTAACCTATTGCCTGCTGGAACTGGGTAGCTCCTGTATTAAGCCTATAGCAATGATTGGATTCAAACGGGGAGTGTTTTAAACTGGCATTAGGTGAGTCACATATTTACACTATTAGGATGCATGAAATTCCTCATTTTGTACATGTATCTTCAGTGAAGCTATAATATGAAGACAAATAATGGTTTCTATAATTATACTGCTTGTGTAATGGCAAGTTTAGATATCTTGTACTTTGTTTTGTTTCTACGTTTTAGTATCTTTCATTAACTTTGCATTATGACGATGACAATGTAAATTTAAAATTTACGTTTAATTAGTAGTTATATTCAAAGCATGATATAAAGTTCATAGAGGCATGATAATATAAGTATACCAGTATATTTTTATGAAATTGATTTGTGAATGTTTGCTTACAGGGACAGGCACTGGAGGAGAATCTATCTATGGGGGAACATTTGCAGGTATCATCATTCGATATATTTCTGTCTTTTCCACAATTTTTTTTCATGTTCTTAGTAGAATGTGTGTCAACAGTGTTTTAAAAGTTTTTGTTGTTGTTTTTTTTAAACATGGGACTTACTAGTATTTGTAGCCATTCAAGAAATTAGTTAAATGATAGAATTACATCTCATTATTGTTATTACATGTACATATAATATCATAGAATGTATTTAGCCTGCATAGAAAGACAGAATACAAGACATTTATTTGACACAACATTTAATTTTTTATTGACAATTTTATTTATTTCTAAGTTTGATTTTTGATTTTAAACAGGTAATTAATTTTACTGTAGGAGTTACCTAAAGAGAAACAAAAGTCACATTTTGCTTAGTTACCCATATTATTGGTTTTGATATAAAGTAATGATTTGCCAGGTGTTATTCTTTTTCTTTTTTATTGCCATGTTCCAGTTTCTGCAAGAGAGGTAAGACCATTAGAATAGAGTGCTGGACATTTTCATTAGGAATATCAAACATTATGAATCATTAACTTCTAATTTAATGGAAAATTTGTGAGTATTAATAAATTAGTCAAATGAGTAAATCAATAAAAAATATATTTGTGTTCCATTTCCTTTAGAACTTGTATTGACTTGCTTGTTTTTGTTTTTTATTTTTTCCCTTTCTTTATATGAATGTAGGTGAGATGACAAATATTTCTAATTTTAGGAATAGCAAATTAAACACACAAAAATCTGATGACTTGCTTTCTTATCATACCACATATAGATGAGAATTTTGAACTGAAACATGACCGCCCCTATTTGCTGTCCATGGCCAATCGAGGAAAGGACACGAACGGTTCTCAGTTCTTCTTGTGAGTACATTTTCTTTTTAAATTGTTCAGGGTTTTGCTTATTAGAAATCAGTGCCACATCTTACTGATGAGTTAAATGATTGTTCTCTCTCTGGTTTGGTATTTTGGTAGCTACATTGAGAACGTTTAAAATCACAGGAAACATGTACATTGAGAGAAAGGTCAAAAGTCACCATAGTTTTTTATATGTGCGCTATAAAAATATCATTATTTTCAATTATTATTATCCTAAAGCATCAAAGTGAAATCAACATTTTTTTTTTAAATTCTGATAATTTTGTAGTTTAGTCTTTTCTATTTGTATAAATGTACAAGTGAAATGATTTATTGCCTCTATCCACTCATAAAGGATTGTTTTGTTTTTGGCAGGTTACTTGTGCCTGTTGTTTCTGTAATTGATATGTCACAGCGGCACAACTACAAACATTTTTTCTTCTATTGGCAATGTAAATCATGATCATTGTACATGTATACATGCATGCGAGAATAGCCACATCATGCACATGTAATATCCATACACGTCATTACGATATTAATATTACTGGTTTTTTGTGTTCAATATTGCCCTTTTTCAGAGAAAAATCCAAGCATCGTAAAGGTAATTTATGGGTTGTAGTGATGAGTCTTTGTATCATTTTGTTGGCCATTTAATTGCTGTTATATTTCACATGCTGGAAGAAATTAAGATATTCATCATTCTAATGTAATGTTGTATGAAATATTTTGATGTATTGAAAGCAGTCCAAGTAAGTATTTCAGTAGCATTCATCATGAGGTTAAAATTATGCCATTTGTACATGTAGGCTATATAAACTAGGTAAGATGTTGGAATTAATCATAGGCATAGATTGTCGATTTAAATAAGCTGAATCTACATGTAGTCAGCATCTAGACTATACATGGTTATATTATATCCAAAGTTGATGAAACAGGTGAACAGAGTGACGTAAAAGGATTGTAAGCAACTGGACGACCTGGAAGTAATTGTTATCCTTGATGCTAAACGGTATCGCTTTACCTCTAATCGGGAGAGAATGTTTTCAATTATGAGGCAAATCATGAAGGTTATATATCTTGTAATGCTATTACTTATCAAGGTAATGGGCTGGAATCATGAATTGAATCAGCAGGCTATCCGATCAACTTGAGCCGTACCTGATTGAGTTGAATAAAGAATATGCCGTGATGTATTTTGACAAGGGGGGTCCATGAGCGAAGAGAGAAACTGCTGTACTATCCATGAATGTCATATACATTTCAGGCATTATGAGTCTTCATTGGGTCACAGTGTTTATTGAATACATCATTTATGCCTGATGTCCCTCTTTGTCTGTCTAGCCCCCCCCCCTTCCCCCTTTCCCTCACTCTCATACTGCTAGCTATCAACTCTCCATTTTGTTAAAGTCACAATATTTTATGTTTTTCTTATTTTCTTTCTCATAGTCACACACTTCATTTTGTATAAGAATTTTTTATTTTTTTTACATCTCCTTTCTTTTTCCATTCTCCATTTTTTCATCACCACTTTTTCAATTTGCTGAAGAATAGTTCCCAAATATTATACTAATAACAGATTAATGTAACTGTTTTCCTTTTCTTCTTCTTCTTCTTTTTCTCCTTTACTTGTTTGATTTTCATTTATCACACATCAACCATTCTGACTACAGAACAACCAAGCAAGCTCCTCATTTGGATGGGTAAGTCAAGGAAACAGTTCTCTCACTCTTCTTCAGATGTTATGTGACTCAAAATTATGATTACTAAGAATTAATCTTAAAGCCTGTCTGCACTACTTGTAGTTACTTGTGCCCTCTATATAGCCAACAATGCCTAAGTGGAACCCGTTGATCCCACATGGTCCCCTTTTTCTTATGTTAATTGAGAGCTGATTTGATGAGATAGCCACCTGTCAGTGACCATGCAGGGAGGTCTAATCCCTCCTGGTCAAACTAGTGCAGAGGGGCTTTAAGATCCCAAATACAAATCCAAACCCTTACCTTGACTACCATGTTTAGATGAAATAAATGTTTTAAATCAGTCGTAGGGAAAATATTAGTCATTTCATATACTTTTCATGATATGTAGGAATGTCATTTTCTAATTGTTCTTCAAGGAGCTTAGTGAAAGGATCAATTCTTTTATTATGCCTATTTTTAATAATGCTAAACATAGGTAGTTTGCTTCAAATTGACTTTATACTGTATTTTCTTTATTTTGCTTCTAGTGTCCATGTTGTGTTTGGCGCAGTGTTGCAAGGTCAGGATATAGCGACTCAGATTGAGAATCAGAGGACCGATACAAAGAATAGACCACTGTCTGACATCAGGATCACCAACTGTGGAGAACTGGTGCTTAAAGTCAAACCAAAAGGTGAGAAGACTAGTACGTCATTCTGCCACTGGGCATAACAAAATCAATCAACATTAATAGGCTAATGTCTCTGTGCCTTGAAATGTAAGGAGATGACCAAAGTTATGTGAATATGCAGTTTTATCGTCACGAAAATATAAGTATGTTGAAGAACCAATATTTTCACACCTTGTCTCACCAAACCTAGCTTGATATGTAGCTCTTTAATGCATTATCAAATGATTATCAAATTCACCAGTAGGGAGCAATATACTTTTCTTCTTGCCTCAGGATTACAATAAGAAATAGATATTAGAGGGCTATTTATAACATCAGAGCAGTATTTTTATCTTGTAATGAGCATTTACAATGTAAAGAACACCGATTATTTTGAGGAAGAATCTAAAGTGACTCGGTATTTGTCTCAGATTCTGAAACAAAATCCTGGATTTAGCTCATGCTGCAATGATAATTATAAACCTTGAGGTCAGTCAGGAACCCCATAACTCTTACAAGCCGATTGCCTGTCTGATTATCAAGATATTTATGATTGGAAATCGAAATCAAATTTTCTGTTTTCCTAACGGTTTTTAAAACACTACAGTCTATTGGGGGAAAATGAGCATGGTAAAAACGGTCACTCAAAGATTTTTACTCTTTTTTTTTTAGGGCTACAATATTACACCATTTCACAGACACTGATAACATGTAGAGCCATGCATCTCAGATTAAACATTGTTAAACAATGCCTTTAAGGTGGGTTAATTGAAACTTGTCTTTGATGGTAGTGGCAGAATCCAAGAAGAAGAGGGAAGCGGCCAGTTCAGGATCCGACGTGGCTTCATCAGATGAATCCTCAGATGGAGACAGTTCTACCACCACCACCGACTCATCGGAGACGGACAGCGAGGAGGAACGCAGGAAGAGGAAGAAGTATCGGAGGAAGCTGAGAGAAGCCAAACGGAGGAAGAAAGAGAAGAGAAGGAAAAAGAAGGCAAAGAAGATGACGAAGTATGTTAAAAAACAAAAGCAGAGTTTTAATTACTGTGGTTATTCATGCTATGAATTTTATTGGTCTTTTTTTTTGGGGGGGGGGGGGGGTTAGTCAATATAAATTTACTCATGCCTAATCCATATTAAAAAATATTAATACTTTTATGCTATGGGCTCATTAATTTGCCTTTTTTCCTTAAATGTACAAGTACAGTTAACTGAATTATTCATACCCTTATATATTTGATGTTTTTTTTTTTTTTGTAATTCAAGAATGAAAGGTGGACTGGTTGAATTAGCCCATAGTTGAATACTTTTAGATGTTAGCTTTGATGTGCCACATTCTCAAGAAACAAATTGTGACAATTAACTTTGTATGTACAAATTTACTAAACTTCACAATATTTTGCACCAAAACCCTTGAACTGCAATTTTACCACTATCAGTCAATATCTTTAATAACAATTTATTAATTGTTGCTAAAACATTCACCTGTGAATTTTCCCCATTTGTGTCACAGGGAAGGTCAAGCTGTTGTTTGGGAGACGAAGGAGATCAAGAGTGAGCTTTCTCATGTGACCATCAACCCAGAGGAGATCCCGGAGATACCTACCAATAGGTTTCTCATGCGGGGTATGCCAGACAAAGAAAAAGAGTAAGTTATTTACTTCTCCATTCTCACATGCATTTAAAGAGAAGGTTGAGTTCTGGGAAGAATATCTGTGAAAATAATTTTTGACCATTATCATTGTTATTATGCAAGTGTGGAAGAACATCAGATAAAAAATGTCCTCTGAAAAGCATGGCTCTTCAAATGCTTTCATTTTCTGAATATGGCATGTAACAACTCAAAAATCGGGACAGATTTTCATGGCACATTTTATTTCATGAGTGTCGTAGTTTATTCATGTGAGGTGGTCTTGTGGTAGGCCCTATGGTCCATCTACAAAAGGACCTGGGATCAAGCGTGAGTAGCATGGCTGGTGATGTTGTGATTTCTCATGTCTTTCTTTGAATCCAGAGAGGCCACTCAACAGCTTCAGCACCAAAGGTCTGTGGATGCATTCGGACGTAAGATTAAAGGGAGAGGTCAAGTGGTATGTCATACTTTTTGGATTCCTTATCACATTGTTGTAAAACCTTGAATATTTTTAGTTTAATTCTCTTTTGTGTGATAAAGCGGGCTACAAATATCGGATAAGGTGGTTGACATGGCGTATAAAAAGTCTTACTTACACGTTTATGGCTGTTTGACTAGTAAATGACAAAATTGATTAACATGTTATGTATATGGGTGTTATTTTAATAAGATTTTTTAAAACATTTATTTTTCTATTTTTTATATTATTTGAATACTTGTTTGATATGATTTGCTTTTACACATGTTCATTATGTCGTTCTTCAATGATTATTGATGACCAAGGCCATCCAACAAATTTTTCTCTATTTATTTTTAAAACGTAACAGAGGGTGACCTTATGTTTTCTCTTTACGTTGTTTGATTATGTAATCAAATTTTGCAGGACATCTTTATGAAGAGTGAGTATAAATGTAGTAGTTTGATTATCATGTAGATTGTATTGTAAATCATTTAATGATAAAACAATGTGGTAATGAGATGATGTATTTCATGAAAGAATATATCGAGTGCATGTTCTCACTATCCTTTATCCGTCTCTTTGTGCAGCGATATAGAATGGGTAACCCTCCCCACTGGCGAGCAGAGAATCGTAACAAACAACAAGAGAAGGGGCAGGGGGATTCCTCAGCCGCCCGTTGGGAGATGGGTGGAGCTTTGAAAGATGCCAAAGCCAAGTAAGTTCTTTTAAAAGCTAGGAAGGAAAACCCCTGTTTTCCTTTGATTCCTGAGCACATTTTTAATTTAAAAACAGGACAAGAAATAAATTATCATTGTACTTGTATAATATTAATGTATAATTTTTGTTTTAATCACAAACATTGTATTGATATTAACTTAACTCAAAATTAAGTTGATTTAAAAAAGAATTATTTTGGTATTAATGGTTGAAGAGTATATTTTTGTTTTAATGATAACTAAAACATATTTGAAATATAAACATGGAAAAACATGTCAACCATTCAATTATTATGAGAAAACAAATATAATTGAGGTAATTGTTATGTTTTTGCAGGAAGAGACGGGAGAGGCCCAGAGAGGATGATGATGATGATCATAAAAGAAGAGATAAATACGGAAGATTTGACAGAGAACAAGACACTGATTCTGAGATGGAAGAAGGGGAAGTAGTATCACAAGATTCTATGGAGTCTCGGAAGAAAAAACACAAGTCCAAAAAGCACAAGTGAGTGTCTCGTCATTTCGCAATATTTATGGAATATGATATTTTCTCAAGGAAATTCGGTTACTTTGAAGTAATACATTTGTATCTTGTAGTAGTTACTTTTTATTTTGTTACTCAATGCTTTAGATGTGTAATGGTAAATGAGCTAGCATGTTGATAGGCATGTTAGCCTTCACTTTAATGGAAGACCTTGACCAATTGCACTCCTATGCAAGCCAATATTTTATATATTTCTACTTCATACTGGCCTTTCTTTTGAGTGACGTTTTGTGACTGGGAAGAGTATATAGAGAAAGCCAATGCAGAAGTATAAGGATTTCCGCAAACCACTAGATGCAAGTGAAATAAATGCATACTTGATATATTGAGCATAAAACTATTTTTGTAAATGTGTGTTATGTTTGATTGTAATGATCATAATTGTTCTATTGTCTACATAAATGAAATCACTTAGGTCCCATAAGAGGTGCGACAGTAAGAAAAGTGGAAGATATCACAAGAAGTCCTCATCCCGACATCGCACCACAGGCGAACTTTATTCCGACACGGAAGAGGAAGAGGAGGATCGCCCTGAACGACGCTTGTATTCACGTTCTCCCGACAGTCGTTCTCGCTCGCGGTCACGCTCTCGCACGTCGGACTCTCGGGACAGGAGTAGGAGTAGGGGGAGGAGCCAGAGTAGGGGCAGGAGTAGGAGCAGAAGTAGAGGGAGAAGCAGAAGTAGGAGTAGAAGTAGAGATAGGAGCAGGGGCAGGAGGGATCATAGAGAAAGCAACAAGGAGTCGTCCCATTCTTTCTTGGCATCAAGGTTCTCTAAGACATCTCACGCCCATTCAGACAAGTCGGAGAGCCCACTCATCACCAGTGCTGTCGCCCTGGAAGATTTCAAGAAGCTGAGGTGAATATTGTAATCTTTCATTTTCATTATCTCGAATTAAATTTGAGAAGACATCAAGTTGCTTTTAATGTGATTGAATTATGTACACTCTATCATGTATGCTTCAGGCTGTATATATTGACACAGTTTTGCAAATATCAGTTTGAATGATAAAATAGAACGTTGCAAGATGAAAACAAAATACTCTCAAATATATGAATTTTTCAAGACAATTGTAAGCAAGTGTACATTTAAATGTATTTAAGTCAGATGTAGAGAGTCATATTAGAATTATGGACTTATAAGCTATGAAATGAGATACAGAATAAATTACAATATTGTTTCTGAATTTGATTTGTTTAAATAAATTCGATCTACTATTATATCATCTTCTTTTACTGTGCTTTCTAAAGAGCAACCTCTTTTTGTGTAACCGATCCCCGTCTTAAAGATCCAAACAAGGAATACTTCAAGATATAAATTTCCTGAAAGCATGGAAACTTTTCATACGAGATGTTTCAGTAGAATCAAGTCAAGGGGTCAGTGACACAAAGACGTAACTCCATTTTGGCCATTTTGAGGAAATTCAGTCTCCTGAAAAGCCCACATTTTTCTGAACATTTTGATATCAAATACTCATTTGGGCAAAATATGGAGTTACGTCTTTGTGCCACTGAACCCTCGAAGTATCGTTTTCTGTTGATGTTTTGCCTATGCAGTAAACCTGTGGATGACACTTCATCGGAAAACGATAGCCCACCACCAACACACTGGAAGCCTGGTCAGAAACCACTCAACACACGTCCATCGTATACCAGTCTAGATATCATGAGGTAGGAAGGAAGACTTGTCGTTGAATCATGATTGTGATTTGTAATAAGTGTCAGGATCATAATAAATTCCAGCATCGTAGACTTGCCAATTGCTTCCAAATTTAAACCTGGGGGGGGGGGGGGGGTGTTTCACAAAGATCCCAATTCGAACTTAACTCTAAGTTGGATTTACAAGTTATGGAGAGCCATTTGTAGCCTTAAAATAAAACGTATTAAAAAAGTATTTTAGACTTTTTATTAATTCCACATCAAGAACATGAAATCTCCTCGATATTAGAAAACATTTTTGGTTTGACTCTTCATTTTATGCCTTTTTAAAAAAACTTTCTGCTTTGCATGTCTGTATTTTTATCTGTGATGTCTTTAAAAAAAAATCATCTTATTGTTAGGTAATGAAACTAATAGTAGGAATCTTTCATTTTCTTTCCTTGTAGCCAAGCACGCAAACAAATAGAGCAGTCAGGAAGGGGTAGTAAGCTTGTGAAGAAGGCTTCGCCTCCTGCCCTGCTCCACAAGAAATCTCCTTCACCACCACCAACCGCAGCATCATCTAGAAATGCAAGGTAAGAAGATCATGTCACACTTGATATAATTTAAATTTAGATGATTTTGTCATTGATCTACGTTGAAATTCTACATAATGTTAACTGGATGTTGCTTCGATTTCCAAGTATTTGTTTCTTTGACCTCTCTTTTTGTGTTCTGGTGGTGTTCTTTAATCATTCTTATATTTAAGGAATACCTTTTGAAATGTTATCCAATAATTAAGGTCTGCTTTCTGTTGCCGTACTTTACAGCTTTCAGAAGTGAGTCTTTTTTTAATGTCCAAATTGGAAAATGTGTGAGTGAATTATTGCCATGCAACTGAGAGGGTGTGAAGGTGAATGAAGATTAATGGAGTGTTTTTAATTTCACTTTGCAGATCTGTGAAAGATGGCAGGCCTTCTGCAGGTGCTGTTGAGCGAAGGCAGAGTGGTGGTCATCCATCCTCGAAGGCTAAAGAATCATCCACCAACCCAATTCTATCTAGGAAGCACTCCCTAAGTCCTCTTCATGGAAAGAAAGATGCTAGGTCCTCAGAGTCATCTCATAGTTCATCTTCTACTTACGATTCAATTGATGAGGAAAAGATGTCTCCAGAGCGAAGAGAAGAAAAGAAGTCGTCAAATTCCTCTAGGCCGCCTCCTGTCAAGGAGGCCTTCAAGTGGAATCCACCCTCTGAAGATGATGAAGCCAGTCCTATTATGATAGAAAGTGAAGATGACAAAAATATGCCACGTTTCCGCAAAAAGAAAAAAGGGGAGGCTTTGGATGCCAGCAATAAGCAGGAGAAGACCAATGGTAAAAAGGACGGAGAGGATGAAGGGTCACTTAAGGACAGACTGGATACTCTGACATTTCAGAATGAAAGGATAAAGCAGTTTGTCTCCACTGTCAAAGAAGATGGGAAAGAGAAAATCAATAAAGATGTGGAGCCGGAGGTTACCAAAGAGCAAGATCAACCAAGTAGTGCTTCGGTAGAGATCCAGTCTCCCAGCTCCTCTAGTTCCAGCAGTGGCTCTGGAAGTAGTGATTCAGAAGAGGAGACGGAAGGAGACAAGAGAGATGATGTGAAGGAGAATGGTAATGTGACAAACCAGGAGGCAAAGAAGGAGGAGCAGCCTGTGAAGGAAGATGGGAAGACTGAAGAGGAGAAAGGGCAAACGGCATTTCCAAATCAACAAGTCAAGATGATGTGGAAGAGCAGAAAAAGCCACGAGAAGCCGAGTAATAAGATGCCGAGTCCTGTCCATGCAGAACACAAGAGGGCCCCATCTCCCAGCCCTAGAAGCCCACCCACCAGCATCCAAGTCATACACGACAGCCCCAAAACCCCAGACGGCAGCCCCAACCCCCAAACCCGACCCAGCATCCCTCATACCCCACCCAGCAATGTCCAAGCTGAGCCGAGCAAAGCCCAAACCCCAACCATCAAATCAAGTTCTCTGGCTAGCATCACTCAGACGCAACCCAACAAAAGCCACACTCCTTCCAGCGACAAACGTATTCCAAAACGAAATGGTGAGCACCGGAGGAGGTACAGTAGAAGTAGAAGCAGAAGTGGCAGATCCAGTAGCAGAAGCAGCAGGGGATCGAGATCAGGATGTTCAAGGTCACGGAGTGGGTCCAGCTCTCGCAGCAGAAGCAGGAGTCGAAGCAGGGACGATAGCAGAACCAGACGGAGGCGTTCTAGGTCCGATTCTAGAGATAGAGCACGGCACAGGTCACCGAAACGAAGGTGAGTAGACATGTATTACATTGACTAAAGAAAATAATGGAGCTTACTGATACATATAGTTTTATATTTGTTTTATAAGAAATACATGTCTTTGACAACATAGTGATCTTGAAACATGCAGTCCTTTATCTACATCATTACTGAATACAATGCATGTTTTTCTCATTGCTATAGAACATGACCAGTTTCATAAAGAAAACTGGCCAGCTTTACACGTCACCTTTACAGAAAACACAAAATCTTGAATGTTGCTACTACTGAATTGAATGATTTTGTTGATGTTCACATATATTTGTACCTGTGATCTGTCACAAGTTTGCTGGAAGTGTTATGTAAATATTTGTTGACACATCTGCTTTTATCTCCCCCATTATACCCCTTTTTCCATATATCTGATTGGCTGGCTTTTTCATCATGTGTGAGGTAAATTGTGAGCCCAAAGTGTATCATTTCATCATGTGTGCGTAACAATCCGTTGTAAATGAGTTAAATGTTAGATTCATTCAGTGTGTAGATGGAAATATAATTGACAATTATGTCTGAATTAAAAAGAAAACACCCGAAACCCTTACCCAGAACTGTACTTAGGCAACTTGGTCTTTTCACAGGAAGTAAGGGTGTAATCATTCTTGATCTTGCTACCATTTCAGATAGAAAACCTTAAGGTTATTGTATGTATCAAGACTGAAATTAAATTTTGACACTATTTGATACGTGCTACTATGGCCTAATTTAGCCCTGTATGAGATACCTTTGCACTCATGTTATGATCGGGTAGGGAGCATAAATGCATTTGGTTCCAAGTGATAGATTTATTCTGTTTTGTATAAAAACATTAAGGAAAACATTACAATGATAGAATTGGGGGAGGGGGTGGGGGTAGTTGACATTGTAAAGCAAGGTCTAAATCCGCCCCCCCCCCTTAAAATAGGATCAATGCACAAAAACACTATGGAAATCATTACACAAATACTATCTGTAATTGGGGGGGGGGGGTACTGGGTAAAGTAGGGGTCATAACCCCCCTCCCCCTTTTTTTTATGTCAGCCAGCATCTACTTAAACTACTTGGAGGGGGCTGGGGAATGTTCTGCACTAGCACCTTGTATTAATGTAATGCACTGCACAAATACTCCATGGTCATTCATGAGAAAATAGCAGGTACTCTCATGTTGTAGCTACTTTTACTTTCTGCGTTAATATGTGTGTAATTGTGCATAGATTAATTATTAAGAATATATATTAGACCGAGGGTTATTTTTCTAGTATTCAATGATCTTTGGATTGATATATTGTGATACATTTCATTATGTACTTGACCTTCACATGGAGAATAATATGTTTGTCAGAGTACATCATTTGCGTTTATGAGAAGCTCTTGCAGATTTCATTTGAAGTATTGTATTCCATTACTTTTGAAGCATACACTCCTAGTTTTTAAATAAATGGTCAAGCTCTTTAGTCTTGCAAATATATATATACTGAAAGGAAAAAGATATAGACAAAGTAACCTTTTTTTCTCCTTTGTGTCATATCTTCATTGAATTTTAAATGGTTTGCTCTGTTAATTTAAATTGTAATCTGCATATTAAGGGAGCTTAGCAAAATCAAGTGGCATGTATTACTGCAGTTTGTTTACGAAGGCACCCATGTGCTCTATCATTCCCCTCCATATGAACATTTTAGCCACAGCAGGCATACATCAGAAGTAGTAATTCATGTTCTAATGAAGGCAAAGCCTGTTCAGCTAGATCTCAGATGAGAGAAATACGGTATTCAACTGACTGGATAAAGTACTGTCCATGATAGCAACAATTTACAAGCCTTTCTATTCTGCTGAGCCACCCATTACCCCAAAGTTTTGTTTCTTTACATTTGTACTAACACACTTCATTCTAGAATACTAATTGCAATTTTATGTTCACATGAAACAGCATTTTAGAACAGAACCATCTCATTTTACTTTATCAGTGTAAATTGTTCTGTTTATGTCCGTTGAAAAGAGAAGATGTTTTTCAAGTAATAAACTAAAGCCCCAATTGATCATTTAATGGCACCAGGGACTAAGGTAATTTTCTGAACTACCGGTAGTGCGATTTTCATTAGATAGAGGTACTTATTTTATTTATTCCCCAAATGAAGGGAAAAGGCAGGAAAATAAAGTTTCCTATACAATTTAGATTATGTACCCTTCATGAGAAATTGCCATTTATAATGATGAGTGCACATCACAAATCAAATGCTTGTTAATACTAACCAAGTAGCAGTGTAGAAGCTTGTCTAATCAGATGCTATTTGAGATGTCTATCTATTCTTGCTCTCACCAGATACTATTTTTATGTTTTCATGTGCAGGCATCGCCACTATTCCTCTTCTTCATACTCATCATACCGTAGTAGGTCCAGGTCACGTGATCGCAGTCGCCGTTCTCGTAGTCCTCGTCGAAAATCATCCTATGGCCGTAGCAGAGATAGGCACAGGAGACGATCGTAAGAAGCCTTATCATTTTACCTATTAATAATTTCTCTTGCGAAGGCTAATATGCAGTGATGACCTTTGCAAAAGGATTGAAGATACTGGGGGGGGGGTGGGGTGAGCTCGTACACGGAAGAATCCAAGCAAATGGCTTTGAAACAAAAACAAACAAATGAGGAAATGGAGTCGAAATGAAATAATTTTCATACTTAGTTGTAAGGTAGCAAATAGTGTCATCGAGTAATTTTGCTATAGATTTAGTTGTCTGGAGGATTCTAAAATTACATCTCTATATTTTAATAGTGGATTAGATGTAGTGTCTCCTCATAAGAATTTCTTGTAATAATTTTATTATGTGCAAAGTGTATCTGTATAGTTTCCAGAAAAAATGAATTATGTATGGAAAAAAAAGAAGTAATATCTTTGTTTACCTTTCTGTTGGAAATAAAATAAATATGAATATGAATATGTCTCCAGCAAGTATGAAAAAAATTTGACAAGGTTTTGATTTTCACCCTGTGTTTGTCTTTCAGTCGTAGCAGGTCTGACACAAGGTCACGTTCAAGGTCACGCTCACGCTCAAGGTCGCGTTCAAGGTCACCCTATCGCAGGCGTTCATCTAGAGGGCGACATTCCAGGTCCAGGAGCAGGGGAAGAAGGTGAACTACTCTTCCATGTGAAATGCTTGAATCAAAGCAAGGCCCTGCACTCACAGTGTTCCAAGTGTAACCACTGTGAAGTGATGAATTTAGAATCTTAATTAGATATGACCCATGAAAATCGGAACATTTATGAGTACCGATACCTGCTAATAATTTTTACTTGTACCGTATGCATGGCATATGGCAAAAACTTTCCTTTCGTGAATATCATCAGAACCATTACAGCCTCTTTGAAAAAAAAAATCAGACTATTCAGGTCAAGATCTTTACAGATTTAAAAATAGCCTAAGACACAGAGTTTTAAAGCCTCTCTGCACTAGTTTGGCCAAGAAGGATTAAACCTCCCTGCATGGTCACTGACAGGTGGTTATCTCATCAAATCAGCTCTCAATTAACATAAGAAAAAGGGGAATATGGGGGACCAATGGTCACCGATTAGACATTGTTTGCTATAGAGGGCGCAAGTAGCTATAAGTAGTGCAGTTGGGCTTTAAGATACATATCTCTACAATACTTGAAAGATCTGTGGATTTCGATGTGTCATGTTTGTCAGCAATAATGACCAACATTATCCATTATTCCCTCTCTTGGGCAGGTCTAGAGAGAGTAGCAGACGTCATTCTGACGGACGCCATAGGAGTCGTTCCCGTAGCCCGCGTCAGAGTTACAGCAGGAGTCGTAGTCGTAGCAGGCGTAGACACAAGTCTCGCTCACTATCACGCTCTTTTGACGACCAGGTTTATGGCAGGCGTCGCAGATCACGTAGCAGATCAGTTAGTAGTCGCTAGTGGGGGGAAGGCTGGCTTAGGCTGGGGGTAGATGTACTTTAATTAAATATGAAATATGAAAGTTTTTATTTTCGTTTTTTTTTCTTCAATTACTATTAAATATTTCAGAAAAGTGTTTGTCTGGCCTATGTTCATGTTTTTCAGCTTCTTTTATTGATTTTAAAATGGTGGAGAAAAGGGTAGCAGAACTTTGTTCCATTTAGCTACATTGTATTTGGTGGTGGTAAGATGACTAATGTAATGTGAATGGTTGTTGTATTCTGTTGATGTTTTGCCTCAATAAGAAACTGAAAAACAAGGCAGTTGGTTATTTTGAATGAAAGTGAACTACATGAAAAGTGCTATACTTTTGATGCTTCCCGTTCAAGAATTTTAAGATTATTTTAAAACTGGACTTTAAGCGAGTTGATGTGTTGAGATGCACATTACAGTGATAAGAACCTTTATAATCTTTCAAAAAGTTTACTCTAATTATTTGTATAAAGACTCATTTGCTTTAGAAATCTTTCAGTGAAGAAGACTGTGAACCTAGTACTTGTATGAGAAAAACAGAATTATTAATGTCTGATTCGATGGTTAATAACTACCAACTTAAAGTACTATCATGCTGAAAATGTGTTTCCAGTTAAAGTAATGGACACTAAATGTAATTTAGATGAAGACTAGCATAAAAGATGACTACAGATATTTTCTTCATTTATGCAGCAGAAACTTTGCTTACACAGTGCATCACCACATTGTTTGCAAGTGATTTAATTGGATCGAAGGCTAAGAGGCAAAATACATGTCTTTTTTTTGGGGGGGGGGGATTTCAGTCTGATACTTGCCAAGTTGGCTATGCTTTGCCCCATTTCTATTTTAATACCAGCATTACAGAAATGAAATGTTAGTAATATGTTTGTATGACCTTCGTCAAAGCTTATAACCCTTCAGATAGTTCAGACTAAATGCAGTGTAATGGTTTTTGTTAATTTGTTTTCACATGAACCCACTATTGTGTTGCCCTTGAAAAGTTATCAAATTGATGGATTATGTAACATATTCAGTTCGTTTGTAAAATTGCAGCTTGCACTATGTAAAAAAGCTTATGTATGTACATGTATGACGTACAATTTAAGGCAAAGATTTGTGTGCATTTCGTTTTAATTCCAGATCCTGTTGGTTGCTTTCTTTCATTGTTTAAGTAATTATGATTCAGGTGCAAAGAAGTATGGCATTTCTTGCAAAGTGTTATAATTGTATATGTTTGTAGTTCTGTTTGGTATGGGTCATGAAGCTTTATAACGAGTTGTATATATTGGGAATCGCCTTGATTAGTTATATGGTACATTTTGGGAAAGTTACTGGCTATGGTTGTAAATCTTTGAGCAAAATTGTAATGTAATTGGCAAGATGAGGTTTATTTGAGTAATTTGTGTTTTGTGTTTGATATGTCCTACTGTAACTGAAGTGTAGCATTGGTAATTCTACAGTGGTTAGACAAAGTATGATATTTAGAAAAAACATTGTTTGTACAATCTGGACAAGTTTTCCAGTTAAAGTCACATTTGCCAAATTAGGTGAAAGTTTCCTGTAAGTTCCAAGATGTATATGTCCAATTTAATTGGAATGTAGAAGGATATTCATGTTTACATTGTCAGTAGAGTAGTTCAGTTCAATTCAGTTTAATTGCACCTGAAGCAAAGATAAATCTCATCGGGTTTCTGTAGTGTAGAAACAATGAACTTAATTAGACCCAATATTTTTTTACGATTCATGTTATAAATTGTTTGTCTTGGGAAGCCCTTGTTTGGTGAATAAAATTAGTTTCAACGTCACTTTCTGGATGGATTTGGGTAATCTTTTTCTTTTATGCATTACAGGCAATTCCCATTATCAAGTGACTAATGTATGTAGTATGGTGAAAATGTGAAGGAAAAACTGCTTGTTCCAATTTGTATGAAGTTGTTTAAACAACCAGTATGTTGGGCAAGTCTCTTGAGTTATAAATTGTGAAAGGTACAACATGTACCGTACTTGGGTGAAAATGTACAGGACAATTTACAAATGATGCACAGGTTTGAGTGCGTCGGTAAGGATTGTGTGCACAAGGTACCTTTGAATGGTTTGAACCCACAAATTAAACCTGTGCACCATCTGTTTTATAAGATGGAGCCCCAAAAATTGTCAAAAATACAAAATTTTGTTATTTTACAGATTTACCAGATGCATGGCAAAATCATGAAATTAAAAAAAAAATTAAAAAATTCAGTGCACATTAAACTGAATTTTAAAAAAAAATCAATAAAACAAAATTACTGAATTTTTTTTCAAAAAACACAAAAAACAAATAATTATCACCAAAAAAATAATTAACAAAAAAATAATTAAAAAAAAAAATTATATAAAAAAAAAATTATTAAAAAAAAAAATTAAAGGATATCGGTGGTATCGATTGCTGATGTCGCGTGCATCCAGTAAAAATAATTACATGTTAATTGACCATTCAGATTCTACACATCTTATCATCATCAATAGTGATCTGTCAGTTTATGACAGGTTCAGTGACCCATTCAAAATTCTATACATATTTAATTTCTCAGATTTTTTTTTTTTTTTTTTTTTTTTTGGGGGGGGGTGGGTGGGTTGAATTAAATGACAATATTTTTGAAGGTGAACAATGGTACACCGTGTTGGCAATGGTCAGAAACGGAGCTGATCTTGGCTTGTTAACACATTATTTATGGGAACGATTACCTAAACTCTTCAGCTCATATTATTCGGAGATTCAAAACATCACATGTTGGCATTTTTTTCTAAAGTAAAGATATTAGATTAAAGCAACTTGTGACTAGATCAGTCGATTCTTTAGCTTAGTTTAGTGAATTCAATTACCTCTTTAATTTCCAATCATTACCCATTTAAAGCCTGTCTGCACTTGTTTGGTCGCAATGTTGTCTCATGTTCTGTAGAATATCCACTACCAATAAACAAAGTAGATACGGTGATTGCAGAAAAACATTTCTTGAAATACACTCAATAAAGCATAATTGCAACACAAATCACTCAATGCACAATCCTTATCATTTTTTGTTGTAAGTCTTCAAAAGCCTCTTAATAATTCACAACAGATTGACAATGTAGTTTGATAAACCACTTTACATGCATTTTATTCAAGTTGTTCACTTTTGTCTTAAACAATAATTGCCCTCAGGCTTGGAATGGCTTCCTCTATCCACTCTCCCTTTCTCCTTCCATCCTTGCCCCCCCCCCCCAAAAAAAACCCACTCCCGGTACTTACGCCCCTTGTTTGGGAACAAACATATACGTCCATAAAGTAAGGCTCATCTCGAAGCGAAAGACAGCGGCATATGGCTACCACTGGATATAATGCAAGACCAATTGGGCAGGTTGGGCAAAGGTCTCTGTCCTTTCATATTCAATATGCCTGAAATCCATCTATCCCTTTAAGCTTTCATGTATGACTAAGTATGGGAAGAACCATTGCAGAACACTTCTGAGAACAAAAAGACCTATTCTACGGATGATAAGACTAGATAGTATCTTGGCTCTTTTTTAATATACCTTTCCTTTCTGTACTTACTGCCAATATTACACAGTGCATTGTTTCCAACAAAGTTAACATTCTCCTATACTGAATTAACACACTTTGTCAGGTTCCTCAACATTACTCAAATGTGCCTAATTAACCGTTACCATCGTTGAGATAGTTGCACTTGTATTTTCTTTTTCTGGTGTAAGGAATCGAGTAAGAAACATAATTCTTCGCACAATTGAAGGGAAATCCAACCTTGATAGCAAACTACTCAAGAAGAAGCTCAAAAATCAGAGAAGCATATTTGTAAAAGTTTGAATGAAATTAGACCAAAATTGAGAAAATCATTTTTGAAAGCTACAATCACTGTAGGTATGGCCTCTTCAAATTGGCTGAATCAGGAATGTCTCTGTGATGTAGTGGCGTACAACTTTCCCATTCCAACCCACAAAATGACTAAAGTTTAAAATTTACAAAAAATGACTTGGGGTGGTCTTTTCTTTTTAGATGACCTGTAATAATATACTCCCCATAATATATTATGAGTAGTGCCCCAAGGGTGAAGGCACTTGGGAGAAAAACAGAAGTTAGCGATATTTTGGTACAAAACAAATGGGAGACTTATCCATCACTGCATCACCATCACAATTTTTTCTCCCAATTTTCTTATCAGTGGTCCGATTTATTTTAAACTTTCACCATTCCGTTTCTCAGATTTTCTGCTCTCATTAAAATGACTTATTACAAGGGTTGGATTGCCCTTTAAATGTGTAGCTATGAGGACCTAGAAATATCCCAGGGTCACATGAAATATATATCTTTCTTTATGGACTGACAGATCCTGTAATGTTTCGAATGCCAATCCCACATCAGTATTTCTTTACAATAGCACACAATTATAAACACCTACAGGAACACTTTGTAAGAATTTGACATGTCTACCGGTAACTTTATTTTGGTTTCTGCCATGGTCCATGTAGCCATATTATTCTTTCCATAATCCCCCTCTCAATTTAAACCAAATATCACGATTGGAGCATTCATCAAAAGGGTCATAACGTCAAATTGCATGTTAGGTCTGGAATGTTGGACAAACTATGATAATACAATTAAACACCTTTCAAAATGGAAAACAAATTGATGAACAAACAAATTAAGGGGCAAGAATAGTTACTTTACTATTGAAAAGGGACAGGAAAGATGCCAAAAAATGTAGTTTACTTTCTACACTCAAATTAGTAACCATTTTCTCTTCTTTTGTTACAATGTATTTTTTCAGTCTCTACTTCATTTTTTAAAACCGATTTACTCTGTCAAACTTTGCATTGATGCACGCAATCCCTTCTCATTTTGCATCAGCCCATGCCATCAACACTTCTTCCTCTTTCCAACTCCAAAGTCACCCCCTCGCTCATTTTTCTCCTTGTGCCGCAGCTGTCTCTACGGATGGATCCGCCTTCGCATCTAGGGCCGCGGGTCTGAGACCGCGGATAGAGATGTCGTAGACCACCTCCTCTATCTTCTTGATGTCGTACTTGAGTCCGTCGAATCGCTTGCGGAGCGAGTCGTTCTTTAGATTCAGGAGCCTGAAACCAGAATTCAGCTCTCCCATGAAGGCCGAGATGCGAATGGGTCTACTATAATCGCCTGATGTAACACTATTGACTGCCAGTCTCGACTGCAACATGAATACAGTAAAAAAATATATATACTTGGTCAGATGATCGCTGAATGCAGATCCATACATATCAAGCAGGGGAATAGAACAAAATATCAAAGCATTTATATACATAACAATACATAACATTTTGGTATTTATAACTTCACACAAAAAAACAGTACATGTATATCACATATGAATAGTTGCACATAATGAAATAGCGGCAATTTTTATCTTCTTTTTTTTTTACATAACTTTAAAATCACTTTCAAAATGAGTATATCAGGTTAAGTTCATACATACAAGTTAAATGTCTTCACGCTTCTCTACCTTAAAGGTAATACAAAGTTTTGGGAAATTTTGAAAATTGGGTGGGTAGTGATTCTTTACAATTTTTATATATTTGGATGCCCCTGTGGATGTATTATAAGCACTAGAAAATTTAGCTCGTAAAACACTTCTGCTTTCGAGAAAAATTGAATATAAAAATTTACCGGTGCTCCCGGTAAATTTTGATGAATTTCAAATAGCGCCTACGGCCGTACACTGGTAGCTGCGACCATGACAATCTCAAAATATGTAGTTGAGATATATAATTTCCAAACGGGAATAGCGAATCGGTCGATTTTAGTCAAGAAGCATTACTTTTTAGCTTAATTAATATCTTGATGTTGAGAGGGAGCTATACAACAGAAAGAGATTATTATTTACAATTTCGTAACTTTAGACTCGATTTCAACAGCGACAACGATCACTGAATATTGTAGGATCGCATACGCTTCCAATATGTTCATTTGAACGAAATTCATTACCCTATACCAAAACTTTGTATTACCTTTAAGTTGGAAATGAGTAACGAACTAGTAACTACAAATACATGTACCATACATAACTAAAGTAATTGTGTGTTGTCTTTGCTTCATCACTTACCAATTCATTTCCTAATGATAACACGCCATGAAGGAAATCTTCTAAGTCAATGTGGAATCCATCAGATTTCTTCACAGTAACTGTGAAAGATGAGGATAATCAGAAATATTACATGAGTGAAGAACATAAAGATGTTTACTGGTAGCTTAACCCCTACTTTATCAAGGGAAAATATAAATCACTAAAATTCATCAAGGAGGTCTGCCTTCTAACTGTAGACATTTTCCTTATCCGAGAATTAACTTAACTTGGTCTCATAGCTAATACGTTTCATAGCTAATATCTCAATAACCGTAATCCATCTTTTGGAAATTTATAATTCACATTTACGATGCTACTGAAGCAAATGCATCTCACATTAGGCCTTAGATAAAAACTTGTTGTATTGCTCTTTAGGTGCCAATGCATGGGTCGGTCGGTCAGAATTTTTTTTTTTTAATAACTTTTTTTTGTCGCCCTCTTTGGGCCGATATTTGTCAGTTTTGAATGTTGTTTTTTTTCCCGCCCTATTTTTGCTGATATTTCTCAGTTTTTATACATGTGTTTCAGCGTCATCATTCCATTCATATCTTTTTTAGGATTTTGAAACTAGGGCAGAAGAAGAGTGAGAATTTGGGAATAATTTGATATTATGCATTTATATCCCATTTAAACAAACAACATACATATTTTTTAATCATAACAAAAAAATTTAAAAAATCATAATGCCGACCATAGATTTTCAGATTTTTGGGTTGGTCGCAAAGGGCAATACAATAATTTTTTATTTTAGGCCTTATCAACATCTAGGATCAGGAGAGAAATAAGCTGTATTTATCTAGATGGTCAAAGAACCAGGTCTAGGGTTAACTAGAAACAACATTATTTTTAAATATTTTTTACGATCATATAAATGCTCTTCACAAATAAAGAAGACTGAAAGCCTGTCTGGAAGAGGGATTAGACCTCCCTGCTTGGTCACTGACAGATCATTGAGGATCATGGGGGACCAACGGTCACCGCTTAGGCATCGTTTGCTATATAGAGGGCGCAAGTAGCTATAAGTAGTGCAGTGGAGCTTTAAGTTTAATATTAGGGTTAGGGTTAGGGTTAGATATAATATTTGCTCCGGGCTACAAGTTAGGAATTCATTTAGTGCAGGATATTGACCAAGGTAACGGTTTATGGAGGAGACTCAGGAGAGACTACTTTAACCCTAATAAGGCCGGGGGGGGGGGGGCCATTATGGCCCCCCCCCCTCCACGATTTTTCTGATTGTTCGAGAACGCATATGGATGGCGCCTCGCCGCTCGCTGACTTTTTTCTTAAGAGTCTTGCGCATCTTTAAAAAAAAATATTTAAAAAAATCGGACCTATAGTTACAAGGTCACGTGACCTTTTGTCTTTGCATGTCAGCCCGAAAATCGCTCATTTTTGTGATTTGTGTACAAAACATATGGGAATGTCATTTTTCCTAAAAATAGATCAAACATTGGTTATTGGGTCTTGTTTAAAGTTTAGGTGGTTGTTTTGGGAGTCAAAGTAGTTGAATTGTAGGAAGAAATAAAAAAATAAAAAAAACAATAACATAAATAAGTTAAAAAAACAATGAAATACATAAGAAATTATCAAAACAAGAGATAACATAAGGAATAAGCTGGCTCTTCCAAATTTTTTTGTCGTATTATTGTTCCAAGTGGTCTAATGAATATATGTAGTGAAAAAGAATGCTTAAATATGAATAATATATGATTTATGGGTAAAAATGTGATTTTATGATGTTATTTGCATAAATTACCATAAATATGCAAATGAGTGATTTTTTTCAAAAAAATTGAAATTATCATATTGTTCTGTACACTTCACTTGACATGCGTGCAAATTTTCGCGGCCGAGATCTTAGGGGGGGGGGCCATAATGCCCCCCCCCCCCCCCGGCCGTAGTAAGACTTCAAATAGCCCGGCCTTATTAGGGTTAAGAAGCTGGAATTTGCAGAGATGTGATGTCTGAGAGGTACATGAGAGGTGTGAGAGGGGTAACAAGAAAAGAGAGGAGGCAAAATGATGAGGTACAAAAGGAAGTAAAAGTAACAGGGATCGGGGAAGAGATTAGAGAGAGATCAGACTGAGATGGTATAGACAAGTGAAGAGGAAAGATGAAGATGAACTGACTAGATGAGAAAGGAAGTAAAAAGGAAGAAAGACCCAGGAAGAGGTGAATAAAAAGGAAGACAGAAGAGAAATTGACTTTGAAATGGCTACATACAAGACGAGATGAAAAGCAGTAACAATTAGGAAACCCGATCCCACATAGGGGGACCCACAGGATGATGATGATGATGCCAGAGATGCCAACTTTTGGAAAACAGAAATAGGGAGGATTTGTAACCGACACCAAATAATGTACGTGTAGCGCACATCTCGAGCGCGTAGCGCCCGACCCATGCGGCCGGGGTCCTGGGCCCGCCTTAGGGCCCTGGAAGCTCTGGGGTTCTAGATGCTCTCTGGTGCAATCTGAGCCTTATTTTGCAGCATTTTACATGTGTATTTAGGTTAAATATTTCCCACTTTTTTTTTAAATAACATACAAATTGTACAAAATGCATGACAAATTCCTTTCAGACTTCTGAATACACGGGTACTTGATACTGTATCCGGACTTATACTTCTGAGACCATTTCTTGGTCTTCTTTTGATGATTTTCCGCCATTTGGATTCTGTGTCAATATCCATGCATTGGTTACGGCGATCCATATGCTGAAACAATCTTTCGCTACTCTTAATTGGTCTTTTAACATAGTGGAATTACTACATGCTAAAGTTAACAGATGATATTTCTCATTCAATTCACAGATATATATATATACCCTGGTACTGATAATTTTTTTTTTTTTTTTTTTTTTAAATTGAGAGGATAAAGATGGTGATTGTAAGGTCAGGAGTTGGGATGAATTATCGGGAGGGTTGGCATCTCTGTGATGCTGATGATTGACCGATGAGCAATTATCATTGCCACTTTTGCCAGAACATGTGCCTGAAAACCTACTTACCTCCCAACAATTCTGCTACCTCCTCTCTCGTTGCTAATCTTTCATGTTCAAGAAAGATTATAAGGGATGCTGAGAAGGCAAGTCTTTGAATACCATATTTCCAGTGATCATGGAACCTATACAACATAATGATGAGAAAGAAATTAGATTAAAGCCAATCTTGAGCTCTGGTATGGGTATCGTATTTTGAGAGAACATGCCTATAATTCATTCTGGATTGTTTGTCCTGCAGTAGATTAGTTTTTTTGAGCCAGTAAAATAAACACAAACTCACAAAAACTTGCTGGAAATCATCTTCAATAAAAACCACAACTCTTATTTGCACATACCATACGTAGTTACCTGTGTTAAGCACATGGCGTCGGGCCTCGATCCTTACCTGGACTTACTTATCTTTCTATGCTCATTACTCAGCCCCTACACATTTTCTACCAAAATCGTTGGGCATACGGTGCGTCATTTATTTGTAATCTTGAACATTCAGCCATAAGTTCTTCTTCTTTTTCTTCTGATTAAGTCTGCCTCCTTCAATTGACTGAAGATTCTTGCAAACTACGGTATGTGCGAGTGTGTATTAACCGCAATTTACATGTACGTCCATTCGAGTGCTATTTACAATATAATACAGTTTATTTACAAATATTTACGAGCACATGTATAGGATGGAGGAAGACTAGCCACTGTCATCAGTGAGAATTTGTTTTTGTATCACTACCAGAAATCAAGCTTATCTTTTACATCAATTCCAAAAAGTTTAAAATGCAAACCTCATGCTGTGGTAGTGTTTGATCATCAGTTTTTTTTCCCTTTTACAATACACAACATACTTACAGCTCATATCAATAATATCATATTATACATTTTCTGGATGGAAATCACATGTATAAATAAATGCATACCTGTAATATTCATCTACAGGAAAGGCAGCAGCTAGGAGAGCTATTTTTGATCTGACTGTCTGAAACAACTCTCTACTTCTCTTGCAAATCTGAGGAACTAAAATTTAAAAAGATTATTAAAAAAAAAGGAAATAAGTCAATTTACTGTTGAGTCTTCATATAAGGGCATCCCTCCATGAATCCATACCAGTAATTTGAATGCAAAGTTTGGTCACAAGTTCTGCCTGTTTAAATAATTAAATACCAAGCCCAGGAAAACTTTGACAAAAATGTGTGTTAATTTGCTAAGATAAAATTGTATAAAGTGAGTTAATGATTGTGTTGTTGTTGTTGTTGGTAGAGGGTGGTCTGGCACACATCCCAAAATCCATTTTATGGCAACTTTCTTTCTGTAAATGCACAGATTAGTAAATCTTAACTTTATCAAAAAAATCTCCATCTTTTGACCGTTACGGTCTGGACTCTCCCTTTAAAAAAACAAAGAAACTGATGTGATTTCCATGACTGCATATAATAGTTACTGGTATACTTTTCAAACAAGAAAACAAACTACTTGATCATAAATTAGATCTGAAATATATCTGCAACAATTTGATTTCAACTAAAAAAATTAATTATATATTAAAATAGTTTAATACGCAAAAAGTAACGAAGAGCATTCAAATTAGAAACAAGGGTCTATGTTATCATCTCATCTCCTTCAATAAAAAGACCATACAGTTCGAACAAACCTTCTTTAATTCCACTGCCCTGATGTATGGCATTCAGTACAGTCATAATCTCTCTTCCGGTTTGCTCCAATTCACGAACAATGGTACGAATCTCCTGCAATGCAAAATTTAAGGGAAAAGAGGCATTAAACTATGGAAAGTGAAAGCCATGGTATAAAAATTAAAATGAACTACCGGTACATGTCTGAAACTAGAAGTACAACTTATACAAGGCACACAACATGGTCTTCTTTCTTTCTTCTGCTTCCCTTCCTTATTTCTTCTTCTCAGTTCTGAGCTCTTCTTTATCATGAGGATCGTCCACATAAACGAGGATTTCCTTGTATACATGGACAAAGTGCATCCTAAAAAATGAGATCGTTCTCATTTTTGATGTTTTTTCTTTGGTGCTCTGCGTGTTTCGAGGCCCGATCCGCGATGGGAAAAACAGATCCTGCATAATCATCAAGAAGATCATAGCGGAATATTAACCCGTTTTTCTCATCGCCAACACGCGGATCAGAAATCAGAACCGTCAGCGAAAATGAGGTCGATCCTCGTTTGTGCGGACGATCCGTATTCTCGGACCAGCACCCCTACTGTTTATTCATCCTATTCTTGTATTTGTAAGTTCTCCTCCTCCTCCTCCTCCTCCTCCTCCTCCTCCTCCTCCCTCCTCCCTCCTCCCTCCTCCCTCCTCCTCCTCCTCCCCCTCCTCCTCCTCCTCCTCCTTCCTCCTCCCTCCTCCTCCTCCCCCTCCTTCTTTTTCACATCAACACATTATGCAATTTGCCAATTAGTGGTTGTATAATTATAAATAGGTCTAGACCCCTAGACCCAAGTTGAATTTGGAATATTGTAATTCAAAATAGGCTCGGCGGTTTTTACCTCTCTTTTATCTTGCTCCTTTGACAAATGTTCATTGAATGCTTCGAAGTTGGTGCTGATTTCCTCAGCCATGATTGCCTATTCTATAGGCTCGGTAAGAGATTTTAAGAAGAGTAAGAAAATACTAGCCAAATCAGCTCACAACAACTGCAGATAAGTTTGACGCTTGCTTTCGCTACGCACTAATCTGCTAATACTAAATGGACACTGAGCAACGGGCCGGGGAAATCCCTATGCACGTTGCACGTGCTTGCTCGCTTGCGCTCAAACTATAAACAAGCAGAAAAGTAAATACCATTTTCCTTTTGCTTTTCAAAGATACATTACCTTTAGAAAATTAGAAAATATTTTGGAGCGTCGCTGTACCAGGGCAACTGCTCTGCTTCTTGAAAGTTGGACATTTTGTTGTATTACGCTTGCTTTGGGAATGAATTGTAAGCAATGAATAGATTACCTTTATATTGATATTTGATGATTCGTCTTAGCTGTTTGTTCGGGTGTTATGTAAGAGAACTATTATCGTGTGTAAGAGTGTTGAGAGTCTGCCGTTGATAAGAATAGATGCCTGACTGTGCTGTGCAAGTGTGATCTCTGAGCTGTGATGCTGTGCCTGTGGCCTGTGAGCAGGTGAGCTGTGCAGCTAGCTTTTCTCAATGTTTCCTTTTATTCGTTAACTGATCTGATTCCTTTGATCCTTCTTTAAGAATCTCGGGTAAAGGGTAGTAACATGTCAGTAGATAGATCAAAGGAATCAGATCAGTTAACCGGAAACATTGTGAAAAGCCTCCAGTTCAATTTTGTGTTTCTTCCCTCGATCATCTCGTACTTTTTAGTTTTTAAATCTAACTAGACCTAGGCCTAGGGGGCCTAGATAAGTAGATTCTACTTCTAGACCTTCTACTTCTAGACCTAGATCTAGGTCTAGTCTACTGTCTAGGTCTAAGTTAGACTCTAACTGCCCATGATTATTTCTTCAGGATCGCGAAGCGAAAGCAAAGCCAAAAGAGTTTTTTAATTTTCGTTCATGAGTCCTGTTTATGTTTTGATGAATTGCATGATAAACATGATGAAGAAATCTCCACTCGATCGAGCCTCATCTCATAAGGCTTATTTCGTCAAAATTTGAGCAAGTAAAATGTTATTTTCACAAGAAAATGCAGCGACGTTTCCCTGACATGGCAAAAACTAAGGCTCCCGTGTCTGTGTGATTATTCGCACTCAACTTTAGTCTTTACATGCAGTTTTGGACTCTTGATGTGAGTGATCAGCATTTCAACTACGGTAGGCTTGTGAATAAAAAGTAAAAGAGTTGGACATTTCTCAATATTTTTACTTTTCGGAAGGAATAAGGATCGCTATAATGAAGACGGATATTGACTCCGAAGGAGATAAATCTTTGACACCGAAGGAGAGAAATTTTCAAATTGAGAACTGATTCTGCTCCATGCACTCCATCACTATCCAGTTTAAACATACATGTATGTATGAAAGATAGATGCTCACTTGATAAGACTTACGCCCGAAGAGAGATGGAAATGGTTAACCAATGATCGATGAACAGGCATTGCTCTACAAGCATCAATGGACTAAACAAACAAACAACAACAAACATTTAGTGTTGGTTGCATGCTTTTGTTTTATCAGAATGAAACATTTACACATACATGTACATGTATGAGCAGACAAGGGCAGTACTGCACAGAGATGGGCACTCGATCCATACCCAAACTTCTTAAAAGTCGCTTAATTTTCTTGGCATTTTTATAAACTTGATCTAGAAAATCTAGGCTATTTTACTTGTAATATAAAACTAATATCTGAACCTCATTTTCTGTTTTTTTTTAAGAAAACAGATCAACAGCCAGTGAGATGGAGAATTTTGTCCTTTACGATGAGATCAGACAGACTGAAACCTCAACGATGTACAAGGGGAGGAGGAAAGGTTCAGTGAACTTTGTGGCAATCCACTGTGTTGATAAAGCAAGGAGGTCAGAGGTTACAAACCGGGTCAGGTTGACCCATGAATTGAGCCATTCCAACATAGTGGAGTTCTATGAATGGTATGAAACGACCAACCACCTGTGGCTTATAGTGGAGCTCTGTACAGGTAATGTTTTGCTTGTGTTTTTGCTTGTGTTGTTTTGATATTTTTAAAATTATTATTATTTTAAGTCAAATTGTAGCAACGTTAAACATATGATAACCAATGTCACAACATCCACTTTTTTAAATGATAACATTTTTTTGTGACTGGGAATCTGGGATGGTAATCTGTTCCTCATCAACCCCCTTTCACCAACCTTTTGTTTTTCTATGCTGCTGCTGATAACCAAAATGGCATATTTGCTGAGAACTTAACTTAATGTCGATCAATTCGCAGAAGATTGATTATCTTAACTATCTCTGACTTAATATATCAAGATAAAGAGTTAAAGACGTACATATATAGTTAGCTCCTGCAAAGTTCAATCTGCATGATTAAAATTTCTCTCTCTCTCTCTCTCTCTCTCTCTCTCTTCACTTGAATATCCTTCATGTATTAGTTCTTATACCTGGCATATAACTCTTTAGCTTTGCTTCTTTTCCACAGGTGGCAGCCTTGAACTTATTTTATCACAAGATGGCCACTTTCCAGAAACAGCAGTTCGTGGGTTCGGACTGGACTTGGTAAGAGGGCTGCATCACATACATTCTGTTGGAATGCTCTTCTCAGATTTCAAACCAAGCAAGGTAATGAACAAAATTCTTCCACAGTTTATTGAACCTTCATTACAAATATCTTTCATTACGAAACAAACCGATTGCTTTGTTTTTGTTTCTGTAAGGGGAATACTATCAAAGTAATCAAACCTTGGTGGAAGTCTCTCTATAAAGGCCACCCGTGTATAGTGGCCATGTCTTTTGTCTCCATCAAGAAGGAAATATGTGTTGTAGAACCTGTCTAGAAAGGCCACTTACCCATAGTGACCACTTGTTTGCCTTGGGACACCTTAAAAGACAGGTTTTACTGTATTTTAAATGATTTTAGATTTGAGCTTTAATATGCAACAGGAATAATTTTTGTTTGTTGCCTGTTTTCCTGTCACAATTCACCTAAAAAGTTGTGATTTGTCAATTTCAGTTATATTTTCACGAGCCAGAAAAGTCCTATGAATTTAAATTTTGTTTACTTTGTGACCGTCAGATATTAGTGGATAGTTCTGGATCATTGAAGTATGATGACTTCAGCCTAGCTCGTCTGGAAGAGGAGAACCTGGATGACATATTTGATATGACATCAGCAGAGGGCACCTCTGATCAAACTAAGCAGGGTGGTGAAGGAACAGCTACAAGTACTTTAGGTAAGATGTCCATTACTCCAATTTCAAATAGTGTTGGATGATTTGTCATAAATTTGCTTCTTATTCAATTAAATTGATTTTTTCCCCTGAATTGTTAACGTAGTCACCTGAAGAAAATTCATGACAACTGATAATTATGGACAAATTATATACGGTTGGAAAGATTTTCTCTTGAAAAACATGAATAATTTGCTGAAAAATTATATAGATATCTTAGGTGTCAAATGCAATTTTGTGGCTAGCTCTGTCTCGCATGTGACGTTACAAATCTTGACGCTCTATGGAGGACTGCTGAAGGCAGAAAATCTGGATCTCAAAATTAACACTTTTGAGAGATGCTTACTGCTGGCCCCAAACATATTTTGAAGAGGGAAGTTGTTATATTTGATCACTTAGGGTTCCCCTTCGCAATGATAAGAATTTTGCATAAATTCAAAACACTTTTTAATCTTTGGGTGACTATACTTTAAAGATGTATTTAAATTCATGCATACTACCTCCTAGATCTATTTGATCTATAAAGTGATAATAGATTCTTATGAATTGTTGCTATGTCAGTCATGAATAGAGCAAGCTTTTTGTTCATTAATAGCGACTTGTTTGAACAGTATACAATAGTTGTGCAATATCATGTAGTGCACAGGTCTAATTATGACTGAATCATTGTCAAAAATAAAACAAGCTGTCAAAATCCAAGACAATATTTTAGTTTAAAATTGCTAATATTCTATGTCTATGAAGTGAAGATTAGTTTATTCAATGGCGAACTTTGTGTATTTTAGTGATTTCTTTTTGGCGACATAGTTCTCTAAGAAGTTTTGTAGCAGTTGTAGTTCTAAACTATTTTCATATTGAAACTTAAAATTGATGAGTTTGTGTTTTTATTATGTTCACTCATATACCAATATAATTGCTTATTTTTATCTTAAGTGTTTGGAGCCCCAAATTTGTCAAAAATTTGATGGCCAGATTTCACTTAAATTGTATCAAAGATTTCCCTCACAAAATGTGTTTGAATACAAATATTGATGAAAGTATACATAATTTGGGTTTTCTGTTGTACGCAAAAAAACAATTTTTGCATTCTGTCATCAATCTTTGACCTCAGATTTGTTTTGAGAATCCTTGCAGAAATGTGTCTCTAATGACACCCTCTTTCACATTATGATAAAATTTAAGTGACATTTTGCCATCACATTTTTGGGGCTCCCAACACTTTAGAGGGGCTTTAAGAATATGTCAATGATGCAGCCATTTTTAGAGGTATTACAAGTGATAATACTATATCTTCTCATTGTAGGTTGCCCAAATTATCTTGCCCCTGAGGTTTTACAAGGACAGCCTCATAGCATTGCAACCGATCTGTGGTCATTAGGCTGTCTCCTATATGAGATGTACACAGGTTAGTATTATTTTTTTTATATTCTGTTCATAAACCTGTATACAACTGTTACATGCATAATATACTTTTCACATTGCAAGGTGAATGTTTAAAAATGCAAGCTGTTAAAGGGATTGGTAAATTTGTCTCAGATTCTCAAACAAAATCCTGGATTTAGCTCATGCTGCAATGATAATTATAAACCTTGAGGTCAATCATGAACCCAATGGCCCGAATTCACAAAGCAAGGTTTGAGCTCAAACCTCCTTTTGTTTCGCCAAACCTCCTTTTGTTCTTTACAAACCAGGTTTGTAAAAAAACGCTTAAAACGCGTCGTATGACGTACGAAAACCAAGGTTTGTCGACAAACCTCCTTTGTGAATTCGGGCCATTGACTTTGAGAAGCCGATCGTCTGTCTTATTTTCAAGATATAATTATGATTGGAAATCAAAATTTGAAAATCTGTTTTTCTAACAGTT